GTCCTAGCTGGCCTGGAACCCTGCTCCCCCCCTACTCCCACGGAGGGAGGGCTGCCCTGGAGGCGCCTGCAGCTGCCTCCCACCTGGTGGGGGAACAGAACGGGGTGTGGGAGGCCGGGGTCCGGGCCCCCAGGCTTATGGCTGAGCTGGGGAATGGGGGGCAGGGCCCAGAGAGGCTCCTCCGACTTAGGCAGCTCCTAGGTTTCACCCCCTTTCTAGTCAGGAGTCAGTGGCAGGAACGGAGCTGTGGGTTCCTGGGGGAGCTCTCTCTGCCAGTCAACAAGGGTGGACCCTGGGAACAGGCTCTCAGCTGGGGGGCAGGTCCCGGCGGGGGGCGGGGGGCGGGTCCCAGCGGGGGACAGCACATTTGGAGGCTGGCCCAGCAGCGGTTGGAAATAGACGGGATAAACACGCTGGAGTCCCCGCAGGGAGGCCGGGCGGAGGCAGGGGGGGCCTCCTGGCTGAGCTGCCCCCTGGGCAGGCAGGGCTGGGCAGCGAGGAGGCAGCAGGCGGGGAGAGGGGGGGTGTTGGCCTGGATAGAGAATCGAGGCCCAGGCCCTTAGGTCTGGGGAAGGAAGGGAGGCTCCTGAGCCTGGAGGAGGAGACATGCACCAAGCTGGTGGGATCTAACGCTAAATTCAGTCTGACCTCTGACGGAAGGACACACCCCTCAGGCTCACAGACTGACATCTCAGCCTCCCCCCTCCCTCCCTGCCCCATCTGAGGATTTTCACTCCCTCATGTGCCCGCAGCTCACCCAGCATGAGCAGCCAGGACTGGAGTCTGGGGTCACTGCTCAACCGCTAATGACCTGCCTGCCCCCGCGGCCAGGTCACCCTCCTTCTGGTCTGGTTTCTTCTCCCCCAAAACGCAGCCTGGACTACACACCCTCCAGGATCCCTCTGGCCTGAAACTCCACGGCCCCTGTTCTTCCTTCTTTCCTCGCTCCCCTTCCTGCTGGCTCACACCTCCCCCATTTCCTGGGACACTCCCTCCGCATTCCTGCCTCCTGCCGGCTGAGGCCCTCCCTTCCTCCCGCCCCTGGAACGCGCCCCCCCCCGCCCCCCCCGCCCCCCGCGGACCCAGAGCCTGTCACCTGCTGGAGTAACAAAGAGCCTCACACAGCAATGCTCCCCCCCCCCCCCCGCGTCGGTCATTATAGCAAATGATTTTTATAAAGTAAATGAAGTACTTCTGACAACATAACAAAAACAGTCATTCTAAAGGCTACATACGGCCCTAAATGAAAATAGAAAAAAAAATATACAAAATACGCACGATGTTACCACGATATAGAATTCTGTATGTTTGAGGAAGGGAAAGGCACAAGTAAAATGGCTGCTTCAGAGGCGAGGGAGGAGGGATGGTCGGTGATTATGTTCAAGTCAATCTGCTATTACTGCAACTTTCTCTCTAATACAAACAGTGCTTTTGGAATTTAAAAAACCCGGTGCCCTCCACTCCCTCCTGCTCCACCGCCCCCTGCAAGCCTCCTGCCTGCAGCCCAGGAGGCTCTTCCCTTCTCTGAATTCCTGTCACACACACACACACACACACACACACACACAGACACACACAAACAGACACACACACACACAGACACACACACACACACAGACACAGACATACACACAGACACACACACACAGACACAGAGACACACACAGAGACACACACACAGACACACAGACACAGACATACACACAGACACACATACACACACACAGACAGACACACAGAGACACAGACACACAGACATACACACACAGATACACACAGACACACACACACGGACACACACACAGAGACAGACACACACACACACACACACACACACACACACGTCCCTCTTACTACACATGGGACGCGGAGACAGGAGAGCACTCGGAGGGCAAGGCAAGGGTCCGGGCCCAGGCTGCTCCCAGCACTGGCTGCCCCGCCCGCTGGCTGCCTGCTCTTAGACACTTACTGACCCTTCACGCCTCAGCTTCTCTTTAAAGCCGGCCCCTTTCCTATCCCACAGGGGGCTCTAAGGTCCCCCGAGATAAGGCTGTGAGCCTCAGCCCCCCGCTGGGCTCACGGTCAGCGCTCAGATGTGATCATCATCGTTACTGCCCTCTTGTTCCCTCCCGGCTGACATGAACTGACAGACTTGTCTTCCAAACTGCAGGCGATCCCTCGGAGCAGTGGGGCACACGGGGAGGCACTAAGTCCCCGTCCCTGGCTCTTTCCCACGCAGGCTGCCCTCAGGCGCACCAGACAGGTGTGTCTCCCGCCCAGAGGAAAGAGGACGGAAGCCCATCCTCTGTCCTAACGCAGGATGCTGCGCAGGATGCTGGGTGGAACACACCCGACTCCTCCTCCACGCTACGAGCCACGCCAGCGCCCTCCCCCGGGCTGGGAGAGGCCCTGATGGAGACCTGGGCCCAGGGACACAGCACTGAGAGCGCATGGCCTTCTCTGTGCACTGTCAGCAGAGGCACCCGGGCCTCAGTGGACGCATCTGCAAAATGGGGAGAATACGACTGTCATCTTCCTTGCAGAGCTGTTGAATGGGCCTCCGAGAACACAAAGCGGACACACACGTTGGTAATGAGCAGCGCCATCTGTCTATCGCTAATGTCCCCCCCCCCCCCCCTGCCCACCCCTCAGCCCCAGGCCCACGCCCCACTGCCACCTCAAGCAAACCCAGAGCCGGAGACTCTACTGGAGCAAATGCCTACAGCCTAGGCGATGGGGTCCCGCGCTGTGGTCTGGAGGGGCTGAGCCAGAAGGGGCTTCGAAAGAGGAGGGGGGGGTAACGGAGGGGGGCCTCCCCCCCCTTTCTGCAGGCCACCCGAACATCCCCACGGACCCGGCCTGCCGCCTGCTGAAGGGGAGCAGGAGCGAGCGCCACATTCCTTTCCCCGGACACGTGGCAGCAGGGAGGTGGCAGCAGCTGTGGGAGCGCCCGTCCGGGCTCTGTGGGGCCTGGCCGCGTGGGAATGGCTCGGGGCAGGCTCTCCCCCCAGCCTGGCATCCTTGGTATCTCCGAGGGCAGCCACGGGGTGAGGGGGACGTCACAAGGCCTGGCACACCCCTGGCGAGGGGGCCCCTCCCGCTCCCCGGTTCACAGGAAGGCCCGCAGGGCGCGCGGTGGCCGAGGGCCAGGGCCGAACCTCGGGAGCCGAGGGCCCGGAGCCTTCAAAGCCCTGGGCGGGCGCTGGTTCTGAGCGGGCGGCTCCCGGGCCCAGGTCCGCTGGCAGCGGGAAGGCTGTGTTTCTTTTAATATCACTCCCAGGCATTTAACATTCCTCGAAGCTTAAACACAGAAACATTTTCCTTCACAGGCTGTGCTTTCTGCTTTGCCAAACATAACCTGGCTTCCTCCCCCTCCCCCACGGCCTCCATCTGCTCCGTCTCCTCCGAGGTGCCACGGTTTATGCTGTGCTCCCCCGGGGCCTGTGAGGCTGACAGAAGTGGGCAGAGGAGGCAACGGGGCTGCGAGTCCAGGTGGGGACAAGGCCATCGAGCCCCGGAGGGTCCCGGGGCCTCAGCGCGTTGCCTGCACTGGACACTCCTTCGCACTCTCCTATCCCACGGCCACCAAGGTCCTGGCTCAGGCAGCCGGCCCTATTTTGTGGCTGGCTGTCTCCTGGGCTAGATGGGCCAGCCCGGAGCCCCATCCCTGCCTGTCCCTCCCAGGATCGTGGACATGGGCCCCCCACTCCTTACCCCCACGGGAAGGCGGTTTCCAAGGCTGAATTGAGGAGAGCTCTCTCTCTCTTCGGTCCCCTTTTCCCAAAATCACGACAAAAATAATGAAGGACTGGCTTACGGTTGCCTGGCAACACCATCTCTCTGGAGACGGTGCTGAGGAGAGGGGCACAGGCCCCCCAGAGTTAGGAGAGGATGTGCTCAGGAGCTTGGGGCAGCTTGAGGCAGATGGCTAGGACCCCACCAAATGGACCCCTCACCCCCCCTTCAAACACTAGAGAAGCGAATGCCAACCGGTGGGCCGTGGGCCACGGGTGATCCGTGAGGTCCGAAAAGGTTGGCAGCCGCTGCATGAGAGCCTGAGACGGGGGAGCAGGAAGCCCACACAGGTCCCCCAGGGGCAATGCCACTAAGGACACCCCGCCAAGCGCCCGTTACCAAACTCTAAAGCCTCGGCCATCAGAGAACCAGCGCTTCCTGCGAACACGGATAGCTCGGCTCTCCGCACCCCCATCCCTGCTGCGGCAACTGCTTGTAAGCCCGGAGCCCCGCCCGCCCGCCCGCGGCTCCGTCCCGGCGCGGCCAGTGACGGTTCCCTCGATGTCACGGTCACAGAATCGGCCCCGAACCAGGCCACCCGTGTCCTGAGCTCGAGGGCACACAAGGTGCCCGATGGGTGTGGATGGCTGCCCGCCCGCCCGTGCCTGCATCCTCTTCACGGCAAAGTGAAGAACAGCCATTTCCAAAACTGGGAGAATTCCCAGAGTCATGGGCTGCAAAGGACCCTCTCCCTGCATGGTGAGCAGGGCGCCGAGAAACACCGCCGAGGCCCACGCACTCTCACCCCGGCCCACAACGCCGGCCCTGCGCCAGGGAACTGGAGGGACACATGAGTGAGGCCCAGCAGCCCTAGTGATGAGCCAGAGACCGGCCCTCCGCAGCCCAGCAGGTCCTGAGCCCTCCAAGCGCTGGGCCTCACGCCTCCGACAACAGGCACCGCCTCACGGACACAGCTCAGAACCCTCACTGCAGTGCGCCCTCCGGGGAGAAGCCCCCAGGAGACAGGGGAGGGAAGGCAAACACAGGGAGCCTCTCGGACAGGAGCGTGGAGGCCCCCCGAGCCCAGCGTGGGCGCCCGGGGCTACGACACGTCCTCTCCGAGGGAGAGCCAGCAGGCTGGGAGGCGCCCCAGGCCAGCACGGAACCCACGTCACAAGAGGCCGGGCACCTTCACCACGGAGGCCGGCGAGAAGGACACCTTCCCAAGGGCACCGCCTCCCGCCGTGGCCGCGCGGGGGCCTCACCTGGATCTGCCCTTTGCCCATAATCTTGTCCACGATCTCGTTGTTGTCCTTGTTGACCTTGGTCTTGTCGTAGCATTTCTCGTAGCACAGGATCCTCAGGGACTGGGAGCCCTCCAGCTCGATCTCGAACTCCTGAGGGGGGATGGGGCCGCTCAGAAGGGTCTCGAGCCGCCGAAGTGGGAGACGCGGCTTCGTGAGGCCGAGGAGGGGCGAGGAGGGCCCGCGGGGGCCACACCGCCAGGCAGGGAGGGAGGGGCGTCCTGACTTCCTGGGGCCTCCAGATCCCTGAGGAAGTGGGTGGGGCCTGGGGCCTGAGCGGGAACCCCACGTCCGGACATACGCACGGGATCCCAGTGCGCAGGCGTGAAGGGCAGAGGGGTGAGGGACAGAGCTGGCCCAGCCACCCCCAGCCCACAGGACATGAGCACGGGAGGGACCCTGGCTTCTGGAGGGGCCGGGGCCCCTGGGGAGGGCCTGGTTGGCGGTGACAAGCTGAGGGGCCTCGGGGTGGGGGGTGGGGGAATACACCGGGCCCCGCCACTCACCTCGTCCCACTTGGGCTCTGTCGTGTCCCGGAATACCCTGGTTTTGGCTTTGCTGACAAAATAGCCGAAGGAATCCACCTCCAGGGTACAGTACAGGTCTGCGGGGCACAGGCAGAAGCACAGAGTGAGGCCCGGGAGGAGAGGGGTTAACAGTGTCCCTCCCAGCACCAGCTGGTCCCTCTCTCAGGCCCCTGGCCTCTTCCCGCTGCTCCCAGGCGTGCTGCCCTCATTCACGCCCTCCGGCCATGCTGGTCTCCTCCCCAGCAGCCCAGCTCTCCCTGCTCAGGACGCTGTTGTTCCTTCACCTCTGACAGTCGCCTCCTCACCACGGAGGCCTCCTGGCACCCTCCTATCCCCCCCCCCCCCCACACACACACACTGATCGCAGGTCCCTCACCAGGGCGGCCCTGGCATTGGAGGTGGGAGTCTCAGGAGGGCCTATGGCCCCCGAGGCTGGAAGCTGGAGTAGCCCCCGTCGCCGAGACAACCAAAGTGCCCCCCACATCCCCAGCGCTCACTCTGTGGCTGTCTTCATCGCAGGGAACTGTATACCTGCAGCTGTCTTTTCTGTCTCCTTCTCACCTCCCGCCCCCTCACTACAGCCACCCATGCAGCAGGCACACCATGCACAGGAGCCTTGCTTTCTTAGCCACCGGGTGCCTTTCGCACAGGGCTGCACACAGCGGGCAAGTCCTGTTAGAAGGCTACCAGCGGCTCCCCATTTGCCAGATGAGAACACGGAGTCAGAGAGCGAGACAAGGATGTTACATCACACAGGAGGCCAGGGCTCGGCTCCTCTCCTCTCCTCTCCTCTCCTCTCCTCTCCTCTCCTCTCCTCTCCTCTCCTCTCCTCTCCTCCGGCAGCCCCACGAGGAGAATGCATGCAGCTCCTACTACCCCCAGGTGCTGCAGGTCACTGAGGGGTGGAGGGCTGGGGGTGAGCGTCTGGGGAGCGGTCCCTAGTTTTTCAATCTTCTTTGAAAACATACTTTCATTGATTTCAGAGAGGAAGGGAGAGGAAGACCACCGGGGCCTGGGAGACCACCCAGTGCTGTGGCCTGGTCTGCTAGGTCTCAGGGTGGAGGAGAGAAAGTCTCTGATTCAAGACGGAAACACTGTCCAGCAGGTGTGGCTCAGTGGTTGAGCATCAACCTGTGAACCAGGAGGTCACTGCTTGATTGGCACATGGCTGGGCCACAGGCTTTATGCCCAGCAGGGGGTGCCCAGGAGGCAGCCAGGCAGCGGTTCTCTCACAGGGCTGGGGGTCAGGGACACTCACGTGCGGACTGCTTAAACCCCTTGGCAGAGTGGACGATGACATGAAGGAAGCCGTAGAGCCCTGGAGACTCGTCGTCTGCGGGAGAGAAAAGCCCCAGGGCGGGGTGGTGGTGAGAGGCTCCTCTGCTTCCTCCCCTCCTCGCCCCACACGGGCTGGCAGGCAGGAAGGGTGGGAGATACAGCCTCAGCCCAGGGCTGAGGGCGCCACCTGGTGGCCAGATGGAGAAGCTGCCGTTCCTCACTACCTCCAGGTCCCCGAGCTCAGCCTGGGAGGCCGGTCCACACCTTCCCTCGTGGACCAGGGATTCTGTACCATCCCCTCTCCCTCCAAGTCCTCTACCCTGGGACTGCCCTTCTCAGCCTAGTCTTTCAAAAAAAAAAATAACCAACGTAAGTCCCTCTGTGCCCGTGCGAGAGAAGGCCCACCTCTGCCTCCTCCTCTGGAACACAGGGGGCAGACACCCCATCGTGGAGGAGAGCCTGCCCTCAAAACCCCTTTCCAGCACCCACGGGCAGTCAGACCCCACCCGCCTGGGCAGTGACCAGCCCGGTCTCAGCTCTGCCCTGCTCAGACACCTCCCACAGCTCCTGGGCTTGAACAACTCATTCCCTTGCTTGGCATTCAAGAGCTAACCCTGGGCCACTTCAGTGGTAGAGCATCGGCCTGCGGACTGAAGGGTCCCAGGCTCGATTCCGGTCAAGGGCATGTACATTGGTTGCGGGCACATCCCCAGTAGGGGGTGTGCAAGAGGCAGCTGGTCGATGATTCTCTCTCATCGACGTTTCTAGCTCTCTATCCCTCGCTCCTCTTCTCTGTAAAAAAAAATCAATAAAATATATTAAAAAAAAGAAAAAAAAAAGAAAAAAAAGAGCTAACCCTGGGAACTTCCGGCCTCATTCGTTATACACTATCCTAGCCCATCTCCACTTCCTGCTTTCCCCACTCCCCACCCATGCTTGGCTTTTGTGTCCCAGCATCTTCTCTTAAGCCAGAGGGGGGCAGGGAGGAGTTGGGAAGAGACAGCCCCCGGCTGAGCTTCCTGTGCTCCTGGCCACTGAGCCATCCCAGCCCACCTGAGCAGAGGCCAGCCATTTGTGGCCGAGTGTCCGCTGGGTCCTGGCGGGCAGCCCCAGCACTGTCGGTGGAGGGGGGGGGGAATTGGGCAATATTGGGTTCCAGATCTTACCATCTTTATTGCTGGTGACAGGAATGTTGTGTACAGTCCTAAGCTTGAAACAGGATCCTGTGAGCACCTGGAGTTCCACTGAGCTCAGGACAAAGGCCTGGAGATCTGCAGGAGGGAGGGGGGGATAGAAAGGGAAGGAGGGAGAGGGGGGATAGAAAGGAAAGGAGGGAGGGAGGGGGGATAAGGAGGGAGGGAGGGAGGGAGGGAGGGAGAGAGAGAGAGAAACATCGTCTCAGGTCCACTAGGACCTGCTGCTCTCTTTGGGGGCTTTTGCAGGAAAAAACCTTAATTCTAGGGGCAGAGCTGGTCGTTGGAACAGAGGGAAGGACGTGTGAACCCTCCCATGGGGACAGTTGTGGGTGCTGTCAGAGGGGTACGAACAGGAGAGTCTAGCTGAGGGGGTTCATGTATGTGTGCATGAGAGAGAGATGGGACAGGGAGAGTGGGGGGGGGGCAATCCTTGACTCTGGGGCTACTCCTATTGCTAATTCACTTTCTGCCTTAAGCAAATCACCAATTCTCTGGGCCTCCATTGTTCAGAAACAGCAATGAAGCGCCGCCTGCCTTGGCACTTGAGCGGGGCTGTGAGGGCGGAAGAGGGGGCGTGGGGCACGAAGGGCTTGGAAACGGTTGCCGTGGGCCCCCTCAGGGCAGGGGAGCGAGGACCTTACCCTTCTTCTGCAGTTTCTGGATTGCTTCTCTCCACTCTGACCTTTCATAGTCCGAGGACAGGAGGAACAGGTAGCTCTGAAGAGAGGAGATGACAATTCAGTGGGGCGGCCACAGTCAGACGGAGCACATCCCTGCACCCCAGGGATCCCACAAAGCTCCCTCCCACCCAGGCACCCCCTGGGCTTGGAGGAGGCAGCGGGAGGAGGGCCTCCTTCCTGGGAGCCCAGTGGCAGGAGTGACAGTGCCAGTGATGGCCAGCAGAGGGCACTGGCTCCACACCACTGGGGAGAGGGAGTGGAGTCCAGGGGCGGACCCTTGGCAGCCTCCCTGAGAATTGGGGCCTGGGACCCTGATTCCCACAGGTCAGGGCTGGGAGCCACAGGGGGCAGCCCTGTACCCAGGAAGGGGGCTGTCTTCGTGCCATCCCCGCCCTTCCTGACCTTTCCGTTCCGGTTGTGGATCCGAAACGGGATGGTGGGGGAATTGAGCAGCAGCAAGAACTCGTTTTCAAACATCTTCTTCTTCAGGCGCTCGATGGCCCGGCTCTGGCCCTTGTTGGCTTTCTGCGGGGACAGAGGTGGGTTCTCCTCAGCAGCTCTAGCACACCTCTCCCCGGGTGTGCATCGGATTTTTTTCTTTTTCAGTATTGTATGGCGCTTTGACCTCATGGGAGGATTCCTAGCCGGGGAGCAAACTGCTCCTCCCAGAGCCATGCTGATTTCTAACACAATAAATGACTCCTCTGTGACACGTCTTTCGAATGCAAACCAGCTAATCCTGAGGCCTATCCCCAACCACCTCCTCTCTCTCTCTCTCTCTCTCTCTCCTTTTTAAAAAATAAAATATATGTTTTTAACGATTTCAAACAGAGGAAGGGAGGGAGAGAAGCATCAATGATGAGAATCATTGGCTGGCTGCCTCATGTGCACCCTCTAGTGGGTAGCGAGCCGCATCTGGGCATGTGTCCTGGCCAGGAATCGAACCGTGACCTCCTGGTTCATGGGTCAATGTTCAACCACTGAGCCACACTGGCCGGGCTCCTGTATCTCTCACACGTCACTCCCCTGCCCTCATCACCAGGGACCAGGTGCCAGATAACTCGGGGCGGCTCCTGTAGCCCAGAGCCCCCCAACATGACCCCCCCTCGCCGGTCCTCAGCCGGTTCCTGCCCTGCCTTCCTCTCCCCTGGGAAGCACAGCACAGGCTCCGGGTCCCGTTTTCCACGCTCCTCCTGCCTCCTGCCCAACCCCGGTGCGAATTTCCCAGTGGCCCTGCGTGGTGCGTCGCACGCCCCTCCCTCGGACACTGTGATTAATAAAAGCCCTCCGTCAGTCCCATGAGCCTCTGCCTTCACCCTATACACTAACCCGCAGGCCCCACCAAGGCACGCTGCCTCAAAACCGCAGACACCGTTCAGCACAGAGCCCAATGCCTGGCCCCACGCAGGGGGCCTGCCACGCTGGGTGCCCGCCTCCATGCCCTGCCCGAGATCCCACCAGGCCCCACCCTCCGCCTCAGGGTGCTAGTCCCCGTTCTCTGGCAAGCCGCTCCCTCACGTCGACCTCTTCCCTTTTATTAACCGCCCTTACGCTCAAGTCTTGGCTCCAATGCCATCCTCAAACGCCACCGCTGAAACTCCTTTCTGCAGCATTTTTTATTTTGACCCACTAGACCAGTGGTCGGCAAACTGCGGCTCGTGAGCCACATGCGGCTCTTTGGCCCCGTGAGTGTGGCTCTTCCACAAAACACCACGTGCGGGCGCGCATGTACAGTGCGATTGAAACTTGGTGGCCCATGCCCAGAAGTCGGTTTTGGGCTCTCAAAAGAAATTCCAATCGTTGTGCTGTTGATACTTGGCTCTGTTGGCGAATGAGTTTGCCGACCGCTGGGCTAGACTAGCAAAATGGTAACAGCGGCTGCCAGCTCGTGTTGTGACCGTGACCCTCACACGCTGCTGGTGGGACCATCGTCGGATGCGGCCTTCTCAGAGGTAGATCTGGCAATGGAATGCACAAGCCCCTTGCCCCAGACATCACCCTGGTAGGGACTCTACCAGAGAGGAGACACAGGAGGGCGGTGACAGTTACTGCAGACTTGCCTGCCAAGAATAGAGCCAGGAACAATCTGAATACCCAAACACGGGGCTGTGCAGACCAGCAGCAGAATAGGATGCAGCTGCTGGCACGGATGTGCAAGGCCCCGGGAGCTCCAAAAGGTGCCCTGGTCAGTGACAAGCTCACGTGGCAGAAGGGCACCTGTAACCCCGTCTCATTAAAATACACACAGGCGGCCGAAACCAGTGTGGCTCAGTGGATAGAGCGTCGGCCTGCGGACTGAAAGGTCCCAGGTCCGATTCCGGTCAAGGGCATGTACCTTGGTTGCAGGCACATCCCCAGTGGGGGGTGTGCAGGAGGCAGCTGATCGATGATTTTCTCTCATCAATGTTTCTAACTCTCTATCCCTCTCTCTTCCTCTCTGTAAAAAATCAATAAAATATATATATTTTTAAAAATGCACACAGGCATGCTGTGCATGCAGCAGGCATGCAGGCGCGCAGGAGACCAGCGGAATACATCTTAAACTGTTAACCACGGGGGTGGGTGCTGAGCAGTTGCATTCTACATGCTCTGGTACTGTGATCTTTCTTGTAACAAGCCAGGGTTGCCTACATGCAAAAACATGTTTATTAAAAAAGTAAATCTTTTGCCCTGGATGGTGTGGCTCAGCGGTTGGGATTCGACTATATGAACCAGGAGATACGGGTTTGATTCCCGGTCAGGGCACATGCCCAGGTTGCCAGCTTGATCACCAGTGTGGGGCGTGTAGGAGGCAGCCGATCCATGATTCTCTTTCATCACTGATGTTTCTCTCTTTCCCTCTCTCCCTCCCTCTCCCCTCCCTCCCCCCCCCTCCCTCCCTTCCTCTTTGAAATCAATAAAAATATATTTAAAAAATAAATAAATTTTTTGCCCTGGGTGGTGTGGCTCAGTTGTTTGACCATCGTCCCATGAACTGAGAGGTTGCAGGTTCGATTCCTGGTCAGGGCACATGCCCGAGGTGCAGGTTCAATCCCTAATAGGAGGTATGCAGAAGGAAGCCAATTGATGTTTCTCTCACACCCTTTTTAAAATTGAATAAACACACATTAAAAAAAAAAAAAAAAAAAAAGCAAATCTGCTTCTGTGACTCAGAGAACGACTTTGCTGTGCCTCTCGCTGACTCCTATCACATGTGTCATGTGAGGTCATAATGGGCGTATGTGCCTCCTCCACCGAGAGGAACCCTGGAAGGCGTCCAACACAGCCCTGTGGCCAGCAGCCAGGGAGCTCAGGAGGCCCTGAGTGGGCAGCAGGCCACACCTACAGCCCTGGGGCAGGAGTGCAGGCACAGAGCCTGCTGGCTCCCAGGCAGCTGATCCATGATTCTCTTTCATCACTGATGTTTCTCTCTCTCCCTCTCTCCCTCCCTCTCTCCTTCCTTCCTACCTCCCTCCCTCTCTTCCTCTTTGAAATCAATAAAAATTTATTTTAAAAAAATATATTTTGCCCTGGGCGGTGTAGCTCAGTGGAAACAGGCGGGCTGGATGCCCCTGGTGGGGGTGGTGGGTGGTGGGCGGTGCTAGACGGGGAAGCAGGCTCCATTGAGGCAGGAGGAGCTGGCCATTCAGAGGGAAGACCCTGTGCTGGCCCCGCTGCTCTCTCTGGATGGATGTGCCCCAGGCAGACCCTCCGTCCCAATGCCTCGGGGTTTTTACTAGGGGCTGCTCCCCTCTTCAAGGAGAGGTGTCTGAGCTGAAAGGATCCTTAGAGGCCACGTGCTCTTGTATTCCTGGACAATCCTTCAGGAAGCAACTCTCTGTGAGGGTGTCAAGGACTAGGAACATGACTGAGTAAAAGTCTCTCGCTAGAGCTCGAATCCCATTGAGAAAGGGAAAGCAGTACCGGTGAAGCAAAGCAAAGAGGCAAACATCAGGAACCAGGAAGTAGGGCGCCCAACCCACACCGCAGTGGGTGGTTCGGGGTAGGCTCCCGGGAGGAGGTGAGGCCCAAGCAGAGCCTGGATGGGTGAGGAAGAGCCCAGGCCAAGCGAACAAGCCCCTCCCGGCCCTGCCTGCCATTTATGGGGAAGGCGCCTCCTAGGTGCTTTCAAATACACTGAGTGGCCAGATCATTCAGATTATTCTGATCCCTGAACACACAATAATCTGGCCACTCGGAGAGTGAGTGTGTGCGTGTGTGCGTGTGTGTGTGTGTGTGTGTGTGTGTGTGTATGTGTGTATAGGCCTGGTGCATGAATTTGTGCATGTGTGGGGTCCCACCAGCCTGGCCAGGGGGAGAGAACATGGATGGTTGGCCGGCCTGCCTGCTGGTCGAGGGGACAATCTTCATATTAGCCTTTTATTATACAGGATATACATTGAGTGGCCAGATTATTATACGTTCAGAGATCATAATAATCTGGCCACTCAGTGTATATGAATTTAAGGCTATGCATTTTCCTAAAAATAACACTATGGCTACATCCCATGGGTTCTGATATGTAGTGCTCTCCTTTTTCATGCAGTTCTAAACGGTTTGCAGTTGCAATTTTTATTTCCTCTGTACCCTGAAAGTTTTAACTTTCTAGGCTCACCCTTAAATACATTCTAGTTGTTGATTTCTAGTTTTACTGCACGGTGATCTGTGAACACAATGGGTATGCTACCAATTTTTTATTTTTTATTGACAACACTGAGGCCAGTGTGGCTAGTGGTTGAGCGTTGACCTATGAATCTGGAGGTCATGGTTTGATTCTCAGACAGGGCACAGGCCTGTGTTGCAGGCTGGATCCCCAGTGTGGAGTAGGTAGGAGGGAGCCGATCCATGATTCTCTCTCATCACAGATGTTTCTCTCTCTCTCTCCCTCTCCTCCCTTCCTCTCAGAAATCGATAAAAAAAAAAAAATATTTTTTAAAAATAAAAATAAAAATTGAGGTTTCATTTGCAGCCTAATGCATGTTAAGCGTTTGTGAATGTTTCACCGGTGTTTGGCGAGAATCTCAATTCTCTGTCAGGGCACACGCTTCTGTGCGTTTTCAGACCATGTGCGTGAACTGCAACAGTCAAGCCCCTTCTCCCCTTCGCTTTTGCCTCTTTGATCTGTCAGTTTCAGAGGCTTCCCTGGTCCCTTCTCTCATGCACACCCTGCTTTTCTGTAAGGCAGCCTTCTCCTCTCGCTTCCCTTTCCTACAGCGTCCGAGACACACGGGAAATCCCCGTAATCAGCCCCACTCAATTCTGAGCACCGAGTCCTGGCCGGGCCTCCCTCTGCTCAGCGCTAATCTGCCACCATCAAAGCCTTTCCCCACGCATTGTGCTGAGGCCTCCTCCACGGTCATCTTCCCTCCTTATCGGGCGCCCAGCCCTTATGACTTCCCCTCCCCACCCCTCCCTTTACACCGGGTTCAAAGGGCCCCGATAAAAACAGCCAACTTCCCTGTGCCGGCTCAGAGGCGGCTCCCTCACCTCCTTCTGGATCTCGCTCTTGAGGGCGGAGATCTTCATTTTCATGTCCTCCAGCTCGTGGTCCGGGAAGGGGTGCACGTGGGGGCTGGCCTCAGACTCCTCGGGGGACGGGAACACCAGGTCGGCCAGAGGGATGTACCACTTGCAGTCATATTGCTGGTGCTTCCTGCAAACAGGCCAGAGGGAGTCCTGAGCCAGGAGGAGCTTGGCGCATTAAGCCCGGACCCGGAAACCACGGAAAAGGGTTTGCTGAGACCTCGTCCAGGCAAACGAGATCCTTGGTTCCCGAGGAGCCCCATCAGGAAGCACGCGCGGAGCAGGGCCAGGCTTCCGGGGTCAGGCAGCAGAGGGAGGCCTCGCCCATCCGTTGGTCCCGTGCAAGCGATTTAACCATCCCGAACCTCACACGTTCCCGTTCCCTGCCCCACACTCGCCCCTCCCCGCCAGCCTGTCCATCCTCAGCTCATACCCATCACCCTTTGGGCCAGAGATGGGATACAGATGTCATTCTGAGTGCCCACGCTGGCCCACAGAACTCCCGTGGGTACCGGGTGGAGGAGGATAAAGCCACGTTCAAGCCCAGGGGGCAACAGGGCACTGGCTCACTAGTGACGCCCGCCACGGGCCACGGGCCACGGGCTCCCGCACGCTGGCTCCGGACCGCCCTCTCTGCTCTAGGACAATCCCAGGTCTCAGCCATCCCCTTCACCGAAGCTCACAACAACCTCCCCTCCTCTCGCTTCCCCCAGAGCCAGGTTTGCGCCTCTCATCCTGGTCTCTTAGCGCCGTGGTCGGTCGGCAAACTGTGGCTCGTGAGCTGGGATTTGCTGCTCTGTTGACTGATGAGTCTGCCGACTACAGCCTTAGGGAAAAACACTTAAAAAACACACACACACCATTTTAGTAATGTACTAATGTCTTTTACCTGAAGTCAAAACTTCTGGGTCGGGTAATGCCTGACGCAGTGGTCGGCAAACTCATTAGTCAACAAAGCTGCCTTAGTGTTTACTCATGGCCTAGCCCGTGGACTGACTGTGAGCTCGCACACGTGGCACACAGTAGGGGAAAGAAGGTGGGGTGAACACTGAATGACCCTTTCTGCTCGTCTCACTAAGCACAGAGATGGGGGTAGGCCGACGCTTCCAGGCTGGAGTCAGGTTCAAATCCCCACTCTTCCACCAGCAGGCGTACGACCCCGGGCAGCTTCTGTAACTATCCTACGTCTTTTCTCTCCGTGAGACGCGGGGAACAATACCTGCTGTATGGAATTGCTGGGGCGGTTAGAAATAATATATTCAAAGCATTTGTCATGACACCTGGCACGGCAGACCCACTCAACAACAATGACAGCAGCAGATTGAATGAATATCCACCGCCTCACAGTTTGCAACAACAACAACAAAAAAAATGCCGGGCCGCCCAATAAAAGGAGAATGCCGAAGTAAATCCTGGCGCAGCCGCCCGCACCATCACGCAGGGAAGCAAAAGGATGATTATGGAGATGGGGCAGCCGCAGGGAAAATGCTTATGACGTGAAATGGAAAAAGCAGAGCCCCAGATTGGGTATTCACACTGATTACAAGTATATGAAAAAACATAAGGACATTAAAAAAAAAAAAAAAAAAAAAAAGGAACTATAGCAGCAGGAGGCTGATGCTTATGTTCCGATGGGTGATGGGGTTTCTTGCCTGTAATTTCGTTACATTATCCTTATAATCAAACACAATTTATTTTTAGAAAAAAGGCTATGCAGTTAAAAGGGAATTAATTAATCTGTTTTTAAAAGGGAAAAGCGATGCAGACTGCCCCAGGCTGCGAAGGGGCGGCCGGGCGGGCGGGCGGGCCTGGCTCCTCCCCAGCTTCGAGCCCTGGCCCCGCGCAGCAGACTCACCCGGCAGACGCCTTCTTCAGCTTGGCGCACAGGAGGACGTCGGTGAAGAGGAAGACGTGCCGCAGCTTCCGGGAGCCCTCCGACACCTCCACCAGGAAGCCGTCCTTCACCAGCTGCCGTGTCTGAGGGAGAGGCACACGCCCGCCGGCTCAGGGGGGGTCAGCCCGGGGCCCGGCAGGCACTGGGGCACCAGCCAGCTGGGGTGGGCTGCAGGGAGGGGCTGGTGGCCACAGGGGCACGGGCTTGAATCTAGGCTCTGGCACGTCCCAGCTGAGATCTCGGGCGAGGTCCCTGACCTCTCTTCCTCTCCGTTAGGCGGAGGGGATGATGATGTCAGCCCAAAAGGAAGGAATCATCGGAACTGGTATCTGCAAAACGGCCCCAGGGCCCAGCACACCCTGTGGATCAGCAGTGGTAGCGTCAGCCCTGGCCTGGTTTGACTCAGAGGATAGAGCACTGGCCTGCGACCGAAGGGTCCCGGGTTTGATTCCAGTCAAGGGCATGTACCTTGGCTGCAGGCTCCTTCCTGGCTTGGGCCCTGGTGGGGGCACATGCAGGAGGCAACCAATCAATATTTCTCTCTGTCTTTCCCTCTCTCCCATTCTTTCTAAAAATCAATGGAAAAATATCCTTGGGTGAGGATTACAAAAACAAAACAACACAACGGTTCCTTTACACGTTTCCTTGGCTCCCAACAGCTCCCGCCCGATGGACCCTAGCTCTACCCTGGAGCCCGAACACTCCCGCCCCCGCCCCACACCTCACCCCACACCGCTGCCTGAGAAGTTGTCCTAGCTTCAGTTCAACCTGCAGAGGCTGCCTTTGAGTCAACACCTCACCACCCGCCCCAGAGGGAGGGGGAACCTGGCCACCCTCTGGGGCTGCCGCTGTGTCTTTGGGAACCTGAGCCACCTCCCACCTGGGTGCTGGATGGTCAGGGGCAGGACTCCCCGGGCCCTCCCTGGCAGCCTCAGGAGAGTCCTGGGGGCTGTCACAGCCTGTCCCCGCCTTCGTGGGCTGGGGACCCTGTGAGCTCCCTGCACTGCCACATTAGGGAGCCTGGGGAGAGGGCGCCATTGGGACGATCTGGAACTGACAGTGCTGAGCCCTCCGGAGAGTGTGTGTGTGTGTGTGTGTGTGTGTGTGTGTGTACCCTCCCCCCCATCCCCCCCCACCCCTGCATCCAAAGTCAAACCAACGAGTGACGTTCCAGGGTTTGCAAACTGGGGCCGGGACAGCTCCCCGTGTCCATCAGTCACTCTCTAGATCCCGTCCCTCATTACCTCCCTCCCAGGAGACACTGGGGACTCGTAAATGTAACAAAGGAGCCAGCCTGCGCTCCTAAACACCACTCAGTTACCGCTCCTGCACCGGAGCTCGGTATGTGGGCCAGGCCACTGACCGTGCCGTCACTGTCTGATTCTTCAAACTGCTTCCCTTCCCTGCGCCCCCCTCCCCCCTCCCTCCCCACAGGGAGCTGGAACTGCTGTGCCACTTCCAGGCGCCACCTGGGACGTTCCAGTAACCGGCTGCCTCAGCCTCCTCCCCACCAGCTCTTCCTGCTCTGGGCTGGCTCCCTCCTCCGTCTCCCCCACCTGCTCACGCAGGGTGGTCAGAGGCAGCTCAGAGCTCCCCCTCCCCCAGACGCCCCAAGCTCCCTCAGACTCCCTGAGCTCCCCCAGACTCCCCAAGTTTCCCCAGACCGAGCCATTGCCTTCCGGGGGGCCCTGAGGACATACTACCCATGAGGGGCTTGCATTCAAGAATGAGATGGGGCCGAAACCGGTTTGGCTCAATGGATAGAGCGTTGGCTTGGAGACTGAAGGGACCCCAGGTTCGATTCCGGTCAAGGGTATGTGCCTTGGTTGTGGGCATATCCCAGTAGGGGATGTGCAAGAGGCAGCTGATCGATGATTCTCTCTCATCGATGTTTCTAACTCTCTATCTCTCTCCCTTCCTCTCTGTACAAAATCAATAAAATATATATATTTTTTAAAAAGAATGAGATGGGCAGAGCCCATCACGCCGCTGGCCTGGGGACAGAGCCTGGGGCTTGCAAACAGAGTCTGACATGATAGCTAAGCGATCCAGTGCCGTGCCGAAACCGGTTTGGCTCAATGGATAGAGCGTCGGCCTGCGGACTGAAAGGTCCCAGGTTCGATTCCAGTCAAGGGCATGTACCTTGGTTGCGGGTACATCCCCAGTAGGGGGTGTGCAAGAGGCAGCTGATTGATGATTCTCTCTCATCGATGTTTCTAACTCTCTCTCTCTCCCTTCTTCTCTGTAAAAAATCAATAATAAAATGTTAAAAAATAAAAATTAAAAAAGAGAGACCCGGTGCCAGACCCGGGAGAGACTCCGGTCTCCGTTTCATTACGAAGGCGAATGGACCCTGGCCTGGGAGCTGTTTGCCCTGGGCCCGAGGCCTCTCGGGGCTGGGAGGGAGGGATCAGCCAGGAGGGGCCCGGGGCACGGGGCGGCGTGCCCGAGCGCCAGGAGAGCAGGCGTGGGTGACTGGCCTGCCGGGTGAGGGCTGTGCTGGGTCCTGAGCTCACCTCCCCTTTGGGGGTGGTGACGGCAGTCCGGCGGGGGTCGATGTCCTCATTGATGCTGGACAGGAAGTTCTGGGAGATGCGGAGGGCGTCCTGAAGTAGCGGGTAGTCTGGGTGGTCCACGGGCGTGTGCTTCAGCAGGTCCTGGAGAGGGTTGGGTGGTGAGTGGAGGGGAGTTCGGGGGCTCAGGAAGAGGACAGTGGGGAGCCCTCAATTCTCTCTAAAAGAATTCCGGGGGAGGGGAGGCACTCAGGGACCCACGCTCTGGTCTGCTCAGGCCTGCCGAGGCTGAACTAAATCCAAGGGCAGCAGGGGTGAAGGCAGTGGTGCCCTTTATGCTGAGATCATTACTCTTCGCCCCTGGGGGATGGGGGAGCAGCATCTCGCCAGCAGCTGGGAGACACCCATCTCTCCACCCACAGCGGCTCCTAGGACACTGGAGACCTTCAGGCGGGGGTGGGGAGTGGCAGGAAGTGCCTGCCTCCTAGGGTGCATCTGGCCAGATGTCACGCTTAGAAGCCCGGTTATATGTAGGCCCGGGCCCCGCCGACATGGTTTCCACAGGCCAGGCAGGCAGTTGGGGTCGAGGGACGCTCTGCCCAGTTTCCTAGACGGGCTGCTCTCAGGGACTCCAGCCCCTCCCACCCTGGGCTCGGCCCCCGTGGGTCCTGACGGGTCCCGGCCGAGCAGGGGCGGACACTCACGTGCAGGACCAGGGTGCTCCTGGTGACACGGTCGATGGGCTTGTAGAGCAGAGCTTTGGGGAGACAGGGAGGAGACGGGGCGATGGAATCAGGAGCCGCTGGAGGCCTCCGGAACCAGCCTCGCTCCCCGCCCCCCCTCGCTCCCCTGCACGGACACACACCACACCAGCGGGCTCTGCAGCAACCTCAGCTCCAGGGCCACCGGGCAGGCCAGACTGCGCGGCGGGACACACACACACACACACACGGCCCCGGCAGTCTGGGCCCCGCCCCCCAGATGCCGTTCCTTCCAGGGCCGACCCTACACCTGCGCGGGCCTGCCCGGGTCAGAGCGGATGCAGGTGCTCCTCTGTACGCCCCTCCCTGAACCGCACAACTGTGTCCAGCCCTGCCCTCCAGAGCGGTAGCACACTCGGGGTCACGCCTGGGACCCCAGAATGTGGGAAGGAGACACGCTGCTCCTCCAGGAAGGGCAGCTCCCCCCAGCCCGATCGCTTGCTTGCTTTCTTTCTTTCTTTCTTTCTTTCTTTCTTTCTTTCTTTCTTTCTTTCTTTCTTTCTTTCTTTTTAAAATATATTTTATTGATTTTTTACAGAGAGGAAGGGAGAGGGATAGAGAGTTAGAAACATCGATGAGAAACACCAATCAGCTGCCTCCTGCACACCCCCTACTGGGGATGTGCCCGCAATCAAGGTACAAGCCCTTGACCGGAATCAAACCTGGGACCTTTCAGTCCGCAGACCGACACTCTATCCACTGAGCCAAATAGCTCAGGGCATCCCGATCACTCTCATGCCCATCTGGACCACAGCCCGGCACTGCCAGCTGGAAAGGACAGGCTTCCCCTGACCCCCCGTCAGCTCCTCTCCACGGGGAGACCCCTCTCCGTGCACTCAGACCCCCAGACACAGCAGGGCGGGCTGAGGGGGGCAGGCCAGCTCCCCACAGAGAGGGTCTGCAAGGAGCCAGCGGCAGCCGGCAGCCGAGGGGGAGAGGCTTCCTGAAGGAATGTCCGCGGGGCCTCTGGGAGCTCGGAAGAGCCAGGAAAATGCACGCTCAGCAGGGCCCCTACCCGCCCCCTGCTCGGGGACAGGGCGCAGTGCCGATGGCTGGGATTCATCGGAGACAGGTGGAAGGGCAGCTGGCCGGCCGATACTTCCCAAAGGAGCTGCCGGCAGCAGCTGAGCCTGCCTCTCCCCCAGGGGGCTTGGCCTCAGGCCTGCACCTGGAGGCCTCTGGTCCCGGGGTCGTGACCTCTGTCCTCTCGCCATCGGAGCCACGACAGCATGCCGGTCTGGGGAGGAGGACCCTGGACTGGTGCCCGTAGGGCCAGGCTGGGGCAGGTCTCAGAGCGGACACTCAGCCCTCAACCCACCACAGCCCCAAAGCCCTGGATGGAATGCCCTGTGTGCTGCTGAGCAGGCCCTGTGGGGACCATCTGCCGGCCGTGGGGGGGCCGGCCTCGGTGGTGCGCCACGGGCCTCCTCTGCAGTCTGCTTGGCGGAATCACTGGGAGCTCGGAAAGGACACAGCTGCCAGCCTCCCTCTCCTCACGCATCAGCTGAACCCCACACTCTGCTGGCGGAACCGGGGACCCGCCTTTTCGATCCTCACCGGAGGATATGTGTTTACTGATTTTAGAAAGAGAGGAAAAGAGAGAAAGGGAGGAAGGGAGGGAGGGAAGAAAGGAGAGGGAGGGAGGGAGGAAGGGCGAGAGAAACATTGATTTGTTGCTGTACTGACTAGGAGATAGAGATAGAGATAGAGAGGGAGAGAGAGAGAGAAAGAGAGAGAGAGAAACATTGATCTGTTGCTGTCCTGACTAGGAGATAGAGATAGATAGAGAGAGATAGAGAGATAGAGAGAGAGGGAGGGAGGGAGAGAGAGAGAGAGAGAGAGAGAGAGAGAAACATTGATCTGTTGCTGTCCTGACCAGGGAATGAACCCATAACCTGGGCATGTGCCCTGACCAAGAATGGAACCGGCAGCCTTTCGGTGTACAGGACAATGCTCCGACCAACGGAGCCCCACAGCCAGGGCCCCGCATTTTACGAAGCGCCTTTGCAGTCTGACAGGGGAATGACTGAAAGCCACTCCTTCACGCACACGTACTTCCCAAACTCACTGCAGTCCTTTCTTTCTTTCTCTTTCTTTCTTTCTTTCTTTCTTTCTTTCTTTCTTTCTTTCTTTCTTTCTTTCTTTCTCTTTCTCTTTCTTTCTTTCTTCCTTCCTTCCTTCCTTCCTTCCTTCCTTCCTTCCTTCCTTCCTTCCTTTCCTTTCCTTCCTTCCTTCCTTCCTTCCTTCCTTCCTTCCTTCCTTCCTTCCTTCCTTCCTTCCTTCCTTCCTTCTTTCCTTTCCCTCCCTCCCTCCCTCCCTCCCTCCCTCCCTCCCTCCCTCCCTTCCTTCCTTTCTTTCTAAATATGTTTTATTGATTTTTTACAGAGAAGAAGGGAGAGAGATAGAGAGCTAGACACGTCGACCAGCTGCCTCTTTCACACCCCCTACCGGGGATGTGCCCACAACCAATGTACATGCCCTTGACCGAAATCGAACCCGGGACCTTTCAGTCCGCAGACCGACGCTCTACCGCTGAGCCAAACCGGTTTCGGCTGGCAGCCCTTTCTTAAATCAGGCAACGTCTAGACCCCTCCCTGTGGGCGACGGGAGCCAGAAGGGACAGGACCCGGCTTGGGGCATCCTGGGACAGTGAGGGGAGAGCCCCATTATCAGCCCGGGGGGGACCCCGCCCTGAGGCTGTTCGGGGGGGGGGTGTCCACCTGTGTCTTAGCTCATCCTGGGGGATCACACCCTGAGACCCCAGGGAAAGTGCGCGTTCAGCGGACGCCTGCCCGGGCCTGGCGTTCGCTCGCTCGGGGAAAGCTGATCCCGTGGCGTCAGCTCTTTCGAACCCTGGCGGGCAGAGGTTCCTGACTAAGCTCAGAGGGCCGCACACGCGGTGGGTAGGGTTTCACGGGGGTTATTAATATGCCTGTAGTCACCTCGCGAGCCCGCCTGATGGGGTGCGGAGGGAAGGGCAGCTGGAGGCGGTGAGGGGGGCGGGACGCGCAGGGAGAAGGCCTGGGACCCAGCCACGGGTGGGAGGAGCGGCCTGACGTCCCTGCTCCCCGAGAACGCAGGGCACGGAGCCCACCTTCCCCCCTCGCCTGCCCCCGCCCCCGTCTCCCCGCTCCTCGCCACGCGGACCTGTTCCCGGTTCCCAGGACAGACACGCCTGCCTCGCCCCCTCCTCCAGGAAGCCTTCCCTGACCAGGACTTCGGCAAACAAAACCCACGATGTCTAAAAGTCAGACCGCTGCCGCGCGCAAGCTGGCTCCCTCTAGTCTGCCGGGTGCTCGGCTCTGCTCCTATGATGTTTCCTTGGATGAGAAAGGGAAGGAGTTATCACTAACCCCATCGCCCAGGAGGAAGCTCCTCCAGGCACAGGGAAGGTGGGTAACTTACTCTTGGAAAGCTTCACCAGGAAGGAGCGGGCGAACCGGTCGCTCCGGCTGCCAGGGTGAGCCCCCTCCTCCGGGCCTGGGCCACGCGTGACTTCCCTTCACACCCTCCCACCCCAACAGGATGTGGCCCGGAGCCCCCGAGAGCTCGGCAAATAGCCACGGAGGCAGGCTACGCCGGAGGGAGCACAGTCTCTGTGGGACCCCAGAGCCGGACCCCGGGAGGGGAGGGGAGGGGCCGAGAAGATTCGGACAGGGTGCTCAGCGAGGGCTCCTTCACCCTCACTCCCCGCGGGGATGCTGACTGCAGAGGCCGCTCCGAGGGGACAGAGGAACCTGACCCTGCAGGTCCCAGGCCCGGGGCACAAGACGCAGCTTCCTTTTGGGGAGGAAAGAGGAAGCAAAGGGCCGACCCCTCCTTTCAGGGAGGCAGAGCTGAGATCGGACCAACTCCTGGGCCAGATCGAAAGAGCATTTCCCTCGGAGCCTCAAGCAGGCGAGTTCAAGTCCACACCCCGCTCAACCCCGGCCATCCGGGTCCGGGCTCAGGGGCCGGAGCACAGGGCAGCTCCTCCCCGGGACCGGCTCCCCACCGCGGGCCTGGGGGCAGCTGGAGCAGCGGCCTCAGGCTGGCTCCACCGTGAGCCGTCCTGGCCACGGGCCACGGGCCACGGGCCATGGAAGGAGGTTAGGGCACTGGAGGAGGTCAGGCACACAGGTCTCTGGGAAAGAAGAGCCCAGGAAGCCCCATCGTCTTCCCTCCAGCAAACTGTACCCCCACTCCAGCCTTTGACAAGGAGCTCCCGGTTACCACGGAGATGGGAAAGCAAAGTGACCGGGAAGGATGCAGAGACAAAAGGCCTGGTGGGAGGGAGGAGAGGGCCACGCCAGCGGTTACACTGGACCCCGTGCCCCTGCCAAAGGCAGCCGCCGTCCGACAGAAGGCGTGCTGGCCTCCGAGAGCGGAGCCCAGCTCCCGGCCCTGCCTGCCTCGCCCCCCTTCAGCCTCCGGAGAGCCAGGGCCTGGGGGACAGCGCCTGCCTGTCCCGGGGCGCCCTGGCTGAGACTGCCAAGAGGCTACTCCGACCCCTCCCGCTGCAAGGTGGGTGAGCGACCTTCCCCGGCGGCAGTGCCACGCCCCCCACCCGCCCGCCCGCCAGCACACCTGCCACCTCCTCGCTGAGCGCCCAGACCTCAGCCCCAGGTCTCTGCCACGCCACCCGGAGCCAGAAACACACCCCCTCGGAGCAGCCCTCCTCCCTGCTCTCCCACCGCCCGCTCGAGGGGAGAGCCCTCTCCTCTGGAAGGAGCATGTGCACTCCGCGCACACAATACCCTGGCCGCTCAGCCTCCCCTCCTCTCCCGGGAAACAAAGGAACTCCAACGTCCCCCTCTCCGGGGGCTGGCGCCCTCCCGTCCAGGGCACCGCTGCCCCGGCCGCCCGCCATTCTCCGGCCGGACCCCGGGACCCCTTCAGCCCGACTGCCACGCCCGCGGGGACAGCCTTGTCACTTTCTGCCCTGAGCAGCCTCTCCAGGAAGTTGCACAGGCTCTCAAGCTAAGCCACCGATGCCACACAGATGTGGGGGCTGGAGGGTGAGGGGGTGGTACCTGGACCTTCCAGCCTGGCCCCTCCATTTCTAAACCATCCCGCCCGGCATGGCCCGGGACTTCCATCTCAGGCTGGCAGCCGGCCGGCCGGAACGGGGGCCCAGCCACTCGCGTCCCCTCCCTCCCCCGCGGCTCCCCAAACCTTGACGGCCACATCTAAGCCCACTCCTGCCGGCCCCCGAGGTGGGGAGACACAGGGCCTCCCGCGAGAGGGAGCAGGGTTACCATAGGTGCAGTTACAGCAGAAGCGGATGATGAGGAGGATCTCCATGGCAGCCTCGGTCCCCGCGGCGGCAGCCGGTGGCCATCGCTCCCCAGCTCCCATCAGCAGCCCCGCCACTCAGCCACCGTGCCCGCTGCCGCCGCACAGCCTCCTGAATCAAGCAGCCGCTCCAGTGCTCCTCACGCAAGGGGGAGGGGAGGGGAGGGAGGGGAAGGAGGGGAGGAGAGGAGGGGAGGGGAGGAGGGGAGGGGAGAATAGGGGAGGGGGAGGGAGGGAGAGGAGCAGGCGAAAGGGGGAGGGGAGCTAGCTGTCACTGGCATCCTGAGGAGCAGCATGTTTGTAGCTGGCTGGCTGCCAGGAAGAGGCTGATTCCGTGTGTGCGCGCTCACACACACACACACACACACACACACACACATGCTCGCTCACACACGCTCACACACACATGTGCACATGCTCTCACAAGCAGGCTCTGCCGTCCACAAAGCCAGACAAAGGCAGGCGTCTGTAATGCAGCCTGCCCCCCGTACCTTCCATGGTGACGGACGTGTGGCTGTCCTTGGAGTCCTTGGGACCTTTCACTTTGAGCTCCTGCCGGAGAGAGGAGAGGATCACCGCCTGGCCCGGGCCGGAGCCCGCCCTCCCCGGTGAGCAGGGCGGAGAGAAGGACCCACACCCCGGGTACAGAAGACCCACAGGCCAGAGCCCCCTCGGCCTCACAGCCACATCCACGGTCCCCGGGGCCTCATGGAGGGCAGCAGCAGCAGGGGGGGGCGGGGGGGGGGGCTCTAGGTACCAGACTGGCCTTCGGTCATGATGCTCCTCAGACCGTCCCCTCAGCCCCTCCCCTGCAACTTCCAGAGGATGAGCGAGGGGGGGGGGAGGCGCCCCCACCAGCACCGCCAACACTTAGGGGTGCACACATCAGCCCAGGGCACACAGAGCTTGCGAGGACAAGCGGCAGGTACACCGGCTGATCCTGGGGCAGGAGCAGCTCTTGGGGTAAGGAGTGAGGGGTCCCACACACCTGCACACAACAGGGGGAGCACGTGGGTGCTGCACGGGGGCCGAGGAGCTGCGTCCCCCAGGGCAGTCCGAGCTCCATCTCACCCACATGGGGAACAACCCCAGCCCCACCTGATACTCCCCACCCTCTGGCGCCTGTGCCAGGCCTGAGAGAGGAAACTGCAGAAGGAAGAGCCAGCACCCCCGGGTCCCCCGCAAAGTGACCGGAGTGAGGGCTGGAGACAGACTCCAGGGCAGCCTCTCTGAGCCAAACCTCTGCTACCTGCCCTTAGGCCCCGCTCCAGCCCTCACTGAGGGCCAGCGTGCTGCAACCGGAGCCGTAATGCAATCCCCACTTCCAGGGCTGAGTGCACAGATGGGGGGGGCGGGGGGCCCTGCAAGGGGTGTGGGTGGTGGGAAGGGGGGGTGAGGTGAGGCCAAGGTCAGGTACCCGGTGGTACTGCCCGCTCTGCCTGGGGGAGGAGATGCCCAGACGGAGGGAGAAGGGGGTTCCTCAGCTCCTCAAGGCCGCGTCTGGCTGGTGTCTGGCTTCCCAGCTTTAGGAATTTTCCTCGCGCCTCTCCCCCCTCACCCCCCCCCCCCCCAGTGCAGCCCAGAGGCATGGAGTCACTTGCTGCTGCGTGGAGAGAGGAGGGCCTAATGGCAGTGATTAAGAGGAAGCGCCAGTGCCAGCCCATGAGCCAGGGTGAGAAGCCGCTGGCAGCGGGCACGGGCCTGGCTCTGCCCTTGGAGCCGGCAGCTCCGAGGGGGCTGAGGGGCGAGCACAGGGGTTCTGCCGGCCGCAGAGGATGGACAGCCAGGCCAGGCTAAGAGGAGACGCCCCTCTGGAACATATAGGACCCAGGTACCCAGTAGCCCCAGCAGGCCTCTCTGAGCACAGACCGGGGAGATCGGTTTGTTCCAGGGAGAACCGGGAGCCGGGCGGGGAAGCACCGTGTCTCCGGCCTCCTGGCTGGGCGTAGAGGGACTTCCCTGGGCCTCGAGGCGTCTTCTGAGGCTCAGCGTGACTCACTGACCCCTGGGATTGAGTCTCAGCTCTCCTGCTGCCCCTGGTATCTGGGTTCAACAAGCCCAAGGCGGCCACCAACCCACGTGCAGGTGTCTCCGATCAGCTTTTACTGGTCACCCATTGCCCGTCTGCACCTCCCACCGTCTGACTCCTGTGCTGCCTCTAGGTCAGTTCCAAACTTGTGACCCATCACTCTGGAAATCTCATGAAAGCTATGCTGCAGCTCACAGCCTTCCTAGCGTCGGAGCCGAGGCGAGAAAGCACAGGGTCCCCAGGGGACGGCGAGGCGGGGCCTCCAGACCTGCAGGCGGAGCTCCCCGGCCCCGGGACCTGAGGCCCTCCGGCCCTGAGCTCGGAGCTTGGTCTGCAAGGTCAGGGCTTGGGGCGGTCACGGACCTCTTTCCGGCTCAAAGGGTGAGCTGAGCTCCTGAAGGACCCCAGCGCCCACCTTGCCACTCCCCGGAGGGACAGACATGTGGACGGCAGACAAAGCCACACCTTTGCTGTGCGGAGGAGCACGGAGGGAAGGCTGAGCTGCAGCAGCAGGACAGGCGTATGTCCAGCTGGACCAGGCGTGTGTCAAACGTGTGGCCCGCCGCCCGGGAGCTGCACATGCTTGAGCTAGAGGATCTGCTATGACTCCTGCACCTACGTGGCCCTGTCCCCTCGGTTTGAGGGACTGCGAGGATCTGAAAGGACCATCTCGCCTGGACGTCCTCGAATCTTCCTGGCATACACCTCACCCCGGAAGCTTATTAAAAGTAGACTCTCCAGCCCCACTTCAAACCTCCCGACTGGACATTCCGGGAAGGTGCCTGTGTCCCTGTGGTTCTTATCAAGCAAGTCTTGCATGAGTGGTAGGGAGCCAGACACCTCAGTCTATAGGAAACAAAGGAAGGGAAGTGACTTGGTCAAGGTCATTGCCATGTGGGAAATACTGCCTCCCCCCCTCCTTTTTTTTTTTTTTTTTTGCCTCCTCTGTTCTAACAGAAAAACCTACAACAGAATAAAAAATTTAAAAAATCAAACAAATTGGTGTTCTTACATGGAGAGGGTAAATGTCAAGTGCAAGAAAGCAAATGTCAGGCTCAGTGGGACCCACCAGGGGAACCGTTCCCCTGACCGGAAAGCAGGAGAGGCCCAAAGGCTGGGAGGCCCCGAGTCGGAGGAGGGAGGGAAGGCAGAGGGGGGCGTGCAGGGCGCTGCTCACCTCGGAGATCTTCTGGAACTGGTTGTTGGACTGGCTGCACTTCTCTGCTGTCTCCAGAGCGACTTTATAGTTATCCACAAACGCTTTGTACACGCCGAGCTGGCTGGCCTGCGGGGAGGAGAGAGGAGAGGGGCGGGGGACAGGAGTGGGGTGGGGAGAGAGGATTAATGAATGGATGGATGAGAGCTTAACCAGAGCACCTGGAGCTCCCTCAGCACCGAGACTTCTAACTCGGCTCCAAGGGGCTAGCTGGGGACAGAGGGGGGAGGCGGGATGCATACACTACAGTATCCCTCTGAACTTGGCAGTTTCCATGGAAACTAGCTCAGCCAATATTAGGTTAACAAGGGGGTGCTGGGGACTAGGGGGAGCAGGACAGGGCCTTTGTTGGCACGCTGATTGCTGATGAAATCCAGTTCATCAGCAGCGTGTGGCTTTAGGTAGCATCACCAAGGTCTCTCAGGGTTTGAAGCCCCTTACCGCCTCACACCTCTTTCACATCCTGGAACTAGTGGGGAGCAGGGAGAGGCAGAGGAGCAATGGAGTGGGTGCATGTGGGGGTGGCCTGCTCAGGGCTCCCCTCCCCATGCTAACAGCCAGAGACTGCATTTAAAGGCACAGTCCCCACTTCCCTCAGCCTCTAGGTGCCTGTCCCGCGATCCTCCGCCTCCGAGGAGCCAGGGGCCCTGCCTCCCGGCACGTGTGCACGTGTGTCACACTGAGCCTAACACGCAGCTTAGCATGACTCGTGACCACACAGAGCCTCGCCTCTTCCGGGAGGCAGAACAGATGCCATCATCCCTTTCTGAAAAGGGGAAACCAAGGCATGGTCACTCAACTCCTCACATATTTACGGGAAGTGCTCTCTGTGCTGTGCGAGTGCACGTCCTCTTCAGGGAGCACAGGGTGGACGTGAGGGTTAAAACGACAATACAACACCGTTTCACACCCACCCATCCGGCCCAGATTTAAACATTTCATGGGATCAAGGGTTGGCAAGAATGTGGGGAAACAGGAGCTTTTACAGACGGCTTGTGGGGGCGTAAATTAGTACCGGACAAGGGCTCTGCTGCATCCTCCTGTCCCCTTTCCCACGAGAAGGATAGAGGTTGGGTGCCCAGGCTGGAACCAGCCCTCCCGTCCCACTGCCTCAGGGAGCAGCAACACTGACAAGTTTCACAACAAACGTTGAATGAATTGCAAAATATAGGAATAAGAATGTGTATGTGTGTGTGTGTACTTATGCCCATTTAAACAGTACGTGTAGCTGAAATCGATTTGGCTCAGTGGATAGGCGTCGGCCTGCTGACTGAGGGATCCTGGGTTCGATTCCAGTCAAGGGCATTTACCTTGGTTGCAGGCACATCCCCAGTGCAGGGTGTGCAGGAGGCAGCTGATCGATATTTCTCTTTCATCGATGTATCTAACTCTCTCTCTCTCTTCTCTGTAAAAAAATCAATAAAATGTATTTTTAAAAAATAAACAGTACGTGCAGTGCCATATAAAGACACAGATCAGTAGTAAAACACAAACTGCAGCCGAGAAGGACACCCATCAAATGCCTGCCAGCACTGCTTCTAGGTTGAAGGGAAGGACAAGAGGAAAGGGAAGGGAGACTGACTGCATCTTTGTCTGTAATGCTTTATTCTTTTAATTAAAACGTTCTGCCATGGCCCTGGTGGATGGCTCAGTTGTTGCTACATTATCCCGTACACCAAAGGATTTCGGGTTCAATTTCCAGTCAGGGCACATATGAGAGACAATTGATCGATGTTTCTCTCACATCAATGTTTCTCTCTCTCTCTCTCTCTCCCTTCCTTTCTAAAAATTAATTAAAAAAAATATATATCCTCCTTGCCGAAACCGGTTTGGCTCAATGAATAGAGCGTTGGCTTGGGGACTGAAGGGACCCGGGTTCGATTCCGGTCAAGGGCATATACCTTGGTTGCAGGCATATCCCCAGTGGGGGATGTGCAAGAGGCAGCTGATCGATGACTCTCTCATCGATGTTTCTAGCTCTCTATCTCTCTCCCTTCCTCTCTGTACAAAATCAATAAAATATATTAAATATATATATATATATATATATATATATATATATATATATATATATATACATACACACACACACTCCAGTGAGGATTTTTAAAAAAAGTGTTGTTGTTGTTTTTTTTAATCCTCACCGGAGGATATATTTTTTAAAAATTAATATCTCCAGATATATCTCCAGAGCTTAACACCTGTGAATTCTGGTGGGTGAGCACACAGTTGTCAACTACATTATTCCCCAGATTTTCTGGTTTAAATTGTTTTCAGTGATGTGGCAGGAGGTTCTGCTTCTGTGGGGCTCCTCAGGGCTCCTACCCAAGTGCTGGGAACGTGCCTGCCTCTAGCCCTACCCTGGACCCTCCGCTTTTTCGCCGAATCCGTGGGCTCCTCGAGGACCCCAACAGGTGAGGACAGGGGCAGAGGCAGAGACAGAGCACCAGGGAGCTGGTGGAGGGGCCCCGGAAAGCTGGGGGGGGGGGGCAGTGAGACCTGGGAGGCTTATGGAGAAGACAAGATCAGAGCCATGCAGGCCTCAGCCCCCCGACAGGCCAGACTTGGGGGGAATCCTTGTGGGGAGAGGAGGAAGGGATGGAGTTTGTTTCCTTTTCCAGGGGAAGTGCTGGCCCACTGGTGTCTCCAGCTACGGGGATGTGCTGGACAGTTGCTTCCTAAACCCAAGTAAAAATCATTGCTGTTCTTCTTCCAGATGCGCATTCTCCTGTGCCCTTTCCCAGGAGAAGGATAAAGGCTGGTGCCCAGGTGGCAACCCTCCCCTCCCATCCCACTGCCCACGGGAAGCAGGAGGCGAACCAGAAACGGGAGCCTGGGCAGGAGGCCTGAATGCAGGGATCACCGGCCACCCCAGGCACTGGGTGTCACTCCCCTCAGGCCCACGGCCCGGCCTGCCAGGCCTGTTGGCCGGGAAGTAGATGTTGCTTGGGAACAGCAGCCAGGCACTGGGTGATCTCGTAAAACAAACAGCAGAGATGCTGATTCCCTTCTCTCCACGATGGATAAATCGGATAATCGAATACCTGGACGCCTGGCCTGCCTGGCTCCGCCCACCCAGCCCTCCCAAGCCTGCAGCCCCAGGGGCTTGGAATGTGTGTGTGGTGCTGGGGAGGGAGCGTGGGGAGCACCCTCGTGACCAGGCCCGTGGAGCTGGGACCAGAACGGGGGTCCCTGGTGACAGCAGAGTGCAAGTGACAAAGGTAAGCAGACAGCCCTTCCCCTCTCCTCCGGGGTATGCACCTCCCACCCTCCCATTTGGTCTCGTCTGCCCTCCTGAGGTCTACAGAGAGGCTGCCCACGCCAATCGGCTCAGGTTCCTGGGGCCAAGCCGGAGCGATGACTGGGTGTTGGCCGTCCCTGAATTGGGGAGTATTCTGGGGAGTACTCTGGGGAGCACTCTGGGGAGTACTCTGGAATTCTCTCGCAACAACACCTTCTGGGGCCTCTTCCTAATCTATACTAATAAAAGGCTAACATGCTAATTAGACTGGGAGACTTTTCAGGAGACCTTCTGGACGTTCTTCTGGACAAGCCCACGGTGGCGGGGCTGAGGTAGAGGCGGTTAGGGGCCAAGAAGGGAGGGTAGTTGTGGGTGATCAGGCAGGTGGGGCGAGCAGGCTGGCAGGCAGAGTGGTTGGGGCAATCAGCCAGGCAGGCAGGTGAGCAGTTAGGAGCCAGCAGTTCCAGATTGTGAGAGGGATGTCTGACTGCCAGTCGGACGTCCCCCGAGGGATCCCAGATTGGAGAGGGTGAAGGCCGGGCTGAGGGACACCCCCCCACACACACCATGCACGAATTTTGTGCAGCGGGCCACTAGTATTCATAATAATATTGATAACAATAACAACAGTAATGATAATGGCTGACTACTGAGCATTTACTGATTTACTCTGTTCCAGGCCCTGTTCCAGGCACTTTCCAGGGATTCCTCACAAGAACCCAATGAGGTAAGTACCGTTACTCTCCTTATGTTTATAGACGAGGAATCCAAGTCACAGAGAGAAGCTGTGCTTGTCCCTACAACACTGCTGGTCTCTGGGGACAGACCTCACACCCCATGACGCCTCCCTCCATGCCCTTCCACGTTCTCCCTCATCGCAGGATACTCATTCACTCACTCACTCACTCACTCACCCACTCACTTATTCACCCATTCATCCAGCGCTGGGCTGGTTCTGGGGGGGCCTAATGGGGGAGCTCATGGTTTTAGGGAGACAGGCAGTTACAGTGCTCACGGAGGGGATACCATAGGGGCTGCATGTGGGGAGGGCTCCTTTAGAAGGAGGTCACTTCTAAACCGGGAACTGACGGGGAGAAGCCAGACCAGACAGGGAAGGACACTGCAGGCAGCTAGAGCCACAAGTAGAGAGAGGCCAAGAGTGCCTGCCGTGTGAACTGAGAACAGAGAGTTCAGTGTCAGGGGCACAGGGGGCGGGGAGGGAGCAGCAGAAGCCCGGTGCGGACAGAGGGTGGCATTCGAAGGGCCTCCTAACCACGTCTCAGCGCCCAGTCTTCCTCCAGGGGCAAGGGCAGCCACGGAAGGGGTGTAAGCAGGGCGGACCTGGCCAGGAGTTCCGAGGCCTCTCAGTAACTCTCCTGCTAGCTAGACGTGGGAGGTGGGTGGGAGGTGGGCCTGGAGGCAGGAGCCTCGCATGGGGCTACAGCTGTGGTCCAGGCGAGGGCCCCGGAGCTGGTGGCGGGAAGCAGGTGGCCACGAGCATGAAAGAAGAGGACTGTGGCTGGCCAGCTTGTGTAAAAAAGGGAACCCTGCCCAAACCGGTGTGGCTCAGCGGTAGAGCGTCGGTCTGCGGACTGAAAGGTCCCAGGTTCGATTCCGGTCAAGGGCATGTACCTTGGTTGTGGGCACATCCCCAGTAGGGGGTGTGCAAGAGGCAGCTGGTCGATGTTTCTCTCTCATCGACGTTTCTGGCTCTCTAGCTCTCTCCTTTTCTCTCTGTTAAAAATCAATAAAATATATATATATATATATATATATATATATATATATATATATATATTTTTTTTTTTTTTTTTTTTTTAAAGGGAACCCTCCTGCACTGCTGGTGAGAATGCAGGCTGGTGCAGCCATTATGGAGAACAGCATGGCGTTTCCTCAAAACATTAAATATGGAACTGCCATTGGACCCGGTGGTCCCGCTTCTAGGAATATATCGTAAGAAACCCAAAACACCAGGCAGAGAGAATGTGTGCACCTCTATGTTCATAGCAGCACAATTCACAAGAGCCAAGACCTAGAAATAGTCCAAGTGCCCATCAGTAGAGGAGTGGATAAAAAAGTTGGGGTACATGTATACCCTGGAGTAGTATGCAGCAGTAAACAAGAAGAATCTCTTACCCTCTGAGACAGCGTGGAGGGACCCGGAGAGCATCATGCTAAGTGAAATAATTCAGTCAGAGAAAGACAAATATCACATGATCTCACTCACATATGGAATCTAACAAAATAGATTTAAAAGTAAAAAAGAAGTGGACTGTGTAAGAGTGAGGGAAGAGGGGGCGGGGGGAGGGCAAGTGCCAGGTGGGGAGTCTAAGGGAGTCACGAATGGATGGAGGATGGGACGGTGGCTGCACCCACCGAGACAGAGGCAGGAAGAACAGCAAAGAACGTCAGAGACGAAGAGCTCAGTTTTGAACATGCTGAGCTTAGAGCCCTGGGAGCAGTCACGTAAGAGCTTTCTCCAGCGTAAGAAAGTGGAGGCCTGTCCACTCCACCAGTCCCACCACCGAGGGGGGGCGGGGGAGATTGGGAGGGGAGGGGTGCTACTTCCCACCCCCCACCCTCCACACCGAGAACAATAGCCGCCGACTCCCTTCCTTCCCGTTGGCTGGCAGGAGTTATGGGGGATGAACCCAGGAGAAGAGCCAGGCGGGGGCCCCGTGGTTCTGACCTGAGGGTCCTCCGGAGGACACAGCCAGACACAGACACAGAGCGGGGACAGAAGGTGTTGCAGACACTCTGGGAACTAGACGACGTCAGCCAGCCTTTCCCAACACGAATGCTGCCCCCTCAGCTTCTCCCCCTCCCTGCACGCTGGGAGGGCAGGGCTCTCAGGCTCTCCAGGGTCCCCGGAGCCGGCGGCAACGGACATAGTCTCCCAACACTCCAGACACGGCGCTAAGGGTGGCGAGCAGCCCTCACCCATCCACCAGGCACGTGCCCCTTGGCCAGCGGAGGGATAGCCAACCTGAACCTCAGCAGGGGAGAGAGCCAGTGCCCTGCCAGGAGCGCCTACCAGTAGGCACACGGCCCGCCTCCAGCATCCCTAGAACACTCTAGACTTCACGGGGGGTAGGCCGGGAGCTGAGGCCCCCATAGAGCAGAGGCCCAGGCTTGCCTCCAGGAGACCAGGAGGGTGGGTGCGGACTGGCCTCACTCGCACCGGCAGCTCCCCGAGGCCCCGGGGAGGGACCCTCTGCCCGCGAGACACTCACCAGCTTCTGGAAGAGGTGGCCCATGGTGACCTGGCTGTCCCACTGCTGCACCTTGGGGCACAGGCTGTCGTAGAACTCTTTGTGGATCTCATAGATGTCCTGGATCTTGTAGAAGATGGTCTCGATCTGCTGGATGGTGAGCACGGGCTGCGAGGTGGTGGCGGTGGCCTTCAGGGGCTTCATGGGCTGGGAGAGAGGAGGGACAGAGCGGCCGGTAAACCCGAGAGTCAGCACCGATCAGCCCTCCCTTATGTCCGCGTTCTGCCTGGACGAAGGTGACCAGACGCCCCGATTTCTAACCATTTGTCCCCCGTCCCGCAGCATTTTTTTAAAAAGTCCCAATTTTTTGAAAACGCCATGGGACAAATGGTTAAAAATTGGGGGACTGCTCCGCCAAAAGCGGGACGTCTGGTCACCTTAGCCTAGACCAGGGGTCGGCAAGCCGCGGCTCGCGGGCCACATGCGGCTCCTTGGCCCCTTGAGTGTGGCTTGGCGTTAGAGCCACTTCTTCAAAATAGACTCGCCCCGGCCGAAAACCGACTTCTGCGCATGAAGTTTCGACCACACTGTACGTGCGCACCTGCCTGTGGTATTCTGTGGAAGAGCCACATTCAAGGGGCCAAAGAGCCGCATGAGGCTCTCGAGCCGCTGTTTGCCGACCACTGGCCTAGACCAGGGGTCGCCAACCTTTCGGACCTCAGGGACCACCGAACGGCAGGCGCCTGAGGTGTGGGTCATGGGATGTAGTGCTGCCCCCCGGCCCCAGCATGGGCCCCTGCAGGGAGAGGGACCCTGACAGCAGAGCCTGCCTGGCCCAGCAGCCCTGCCTGGTGCAAGGGGTGACACCGGGACACATGTCCTGCACCCCTCACACTCCGAAGAGCCCTGGCCTCCAGCCTGTCTGAGGCTCGCTGCTCGGTTTCAGAGGCTCCATGTCTTCTTCCCACGGTGGCCCGCTGCCCGGTCACGAGCTCTTGGTGCACTCCAGGGGAAGCGACCGAGAAGGAAAACGTGGTGCTAGGACTTGGAAGCGGAGTCTTGAAGAGACCCAAGACCAGTCTCGGCTGTTCTGACATTTCAAGCTCCCGTCACTTGGTCCAGAGACACACAGGTCACCGCCCGCTTCCTGTGCCTGCGGCAGGCATCGCTGCATGCTCACAGTGGCCTTTCTCTCGGGGCCTGGCTGCAGCCTCAGCCTCGCTCTCGATGCCCAGGCTGACGTGAAGGATGAAACCCATCTGCCATCGCTGTTGCCTACACCGAGATGCCCCACGGCCGGAGGGTGGAGAGGGCGCGGTGACAGGCAATAACTCAGGGCCATCCCCCCGCATCGGCTGGGAGCCGAAGCCATCATCATCTCCATGCCCAGCAGGAGCGCTGGGATAATGGGGCTTGTGTGTACTTCCTTCAGTATGACGTTCCATACTTCCTAAATCACCTCCAATGAGTAAGCAGGAATTTTACACTTAAAATAAAAAGGTATTAAAATTCGTAGCCCGGCCAGTGTGGCTCAGAGGTTGAGCATTGATTGACCTGTGAACCAGGAGGTCACGGTTCGATTCCTGGCCAGGGCATATGCCCAGGTTGTGGGCTCAATCCCTGGTGTGGGGGGTGCAGGAGGCAGCTAATCAATGATTCTCTCTCATCATAGATGTTTCTCTCTCTCTCTTCCTCTCCCTTCCTCTCTGAAATCAATCTATATGGTATAAAAAGCCAGCGACCAGAACGCCAGAATGACCAGAACAACTGGTCACTATGATGCCCACTCCAGCCGGCCACCTGGCCCAATCAGAGGCAGGGCTGGCCAGCCAATCTCCCACACCCCCTCTTTCCCCTCTTACCCCGCCAGCCCGGCCCCAATCAGCCCCCATCGAGGCAGGCCAGCCGAACCTTACCTGTGCACAAATTTGTGCACTGGGCCTCTAGGACAAATATATTCTTAAAAAGCACTATTAAAATTCAAGCTGAAACCAAACAACTGATCCTGAAGGATAAAGAGATCCTCTTTGGTTGACCTTCCTTCAGCCCAAAGCCCTGCAAGATGCCCAGACTGCATCTCAAAGGCCCCCCAGAGGAGACAGGGTCCGAGAGCCTGCCACAAAGGGAAGGCATGGGAGGGGCGGGCATGTTTCCCGAGGAAGAGAGAAGCCGGAGTCAGACGTGGCTGGCGTGTGGCAAGAGGCTGTTGACTCAGTCTGGGTGGCTCTGGAGACCCAAGAACAGCAAGAAGTTAGGGGGCAGGTGTGGACCCACGGGAGCTGTTCCCCACCGTGTCCCAGGACTGGGTCGTGAGCTTTGCAGGAAACGGGCGACACAGTGTGGGCTGGAGAGAGACCTTAGAGATGGTCTTTGAGAGACGGTCTCCAGCGAAGCTGGCCACAGCAGCCGAACTCCCGGCCACGCCTCACTCCGCCCCCCCATCTGGTGGTGGCGGAGCCCACGTTTGTGCACAAGAGGAAGTTCCATCCACTCGAGCACCCAAACAGTCCTCCAGCTCCTGGCCCCTCATCCTCTCAGCTCTAAAAACGCCCAGACGTGATGAAAAAGGCAAGAAAAAGCAGAAGCCCTCCTCCTGACCCTCTGGGCGCGGAAACCGACAAGCCCTTCCTGGCCAGCTCCTCGCCAGGGAAGCGATGGGTTCGCACGCCCGGTGCAGGCCGGGCAGTGCGGGTTTGAGCCCCAACTCTAACAGCTGTGGGCAGTCACCGCGCACCTCCGGACCTCAGCAGCCTCGTGTGTAAAACCTTCTTAAGAACTCTGATGTTTATATAAAATAGTGAGCAGGTACCTGGCACACAGAGGCGATCCAAAACGTTAGCTGCTACAATTACTACTCACCCCACAAATAACGTACCAAGTGCCTAACTACGTGAGGCTGGACTGGGGTGGGGGGTTAGAAGGCGTGTGTCCCGGGATTCACAAATCCCTGACCCCACGGAGCCTCCCGTCTAGTAGGGGGGACAGACCGGACACGAGGAAATTACCAGGCATATAATCTCACACGCACACGCACGCACGCACACCCTGGGGGAAGGGGAAGGGGAGGCCCTGAGACCCTGCTGATGGGGACATTCACCCTGACGTGGAAGAAGGGCCAAGGGGACCGAGTCCCAGGCAGACGCCTCATGCCCAGTCCCGAGGCAGGAACCGGCTAGAGAGAGGCACGGGGACACAGCCGGCGGGTCTGTGCGCAGAGCACAGGGGGAGGGGAGGGCTGCGGGAGGACGGTGCCGGGAACGGAATGCGGCTTTTAAGCCCAAGCAGGGATCTGGCTTTGCCCGGAGGGGCTGAAGCAGGGGAGTGAGTGATGGGGTCCAATTCTCTTTTCAGGAGATGATTTTTATGACTCACGACCCTTGCTCTACACCAGTGTTTCCCAAACTTTGGACATATGTGTACCCCTTCTATAATTTTCGTAATGCTGAGTACCCCTCGTACTCATGAGAAGGTAGAATTAGGTGCAGCTAAGCACGGTGCAGTGCATATCCCCACCAAACTCTGGTGCAACGTGTACCCCCATACCCCTGGGGGTACATGTACCACACTTTGGGAAACACTGCTCTAGAGAATAATACTCTATTTGGGTAAACTGGACCAGCACACGTGAACTATCTTAGTGGACAAAAGCAAGACAGGCCATTCCATGACTTGGTCTCAAGGTTGTGCTGGTGCAACTCGGCGGGCTTCCCAGAGGAGGTGACAGGAGCAGGCCTTGAAGGTTGGGAAGATGTGAGTGGGTGGAAGGGTGGGGCCTGGGTAAGCATGCGGGGCAGGGAGACAGAAGGCACCAGGAGCCAGGGAAAGAGGAATACTGTTCTCCCCCTGCCCCCCGCCATGAAGCTGTGGCCCCCTCAGCTTCGGGACTCCCAGCCCTCCGTGAAGGACGCAGAGTGGGCTCTCAGGACCACTGGGTATTTATCCTTATTCCTTCCACCCAGGAGCCAGGGGAGGGTCCGGGCCATCACAGAGCCCCCGACCACTCTCCCCTGCCCCCGCCACGTCCATCCACCGAGGAGGGGAGGAGGCTCAGGGGGAGAGCCGTCCTGGGAAGACACAGGAGTGGGACTTCTCAGAAGCTGCCGGGAAAGCACTCATGTGCCGCCCACGCAGGGACAGGACGCAACCGATCCGCTTCCTCCCAAAAGCCCGCTCTGCCTGCAAAAGGGGAAGGAACGGCGCTCACAGCTCGGTCACACGGACAGGCCTCCGCGGGGGCCTCAGACGGCTCTCAGGGCCAGGCTGGGACCCTTGGTCTTAGCCCTGATTTCACTTGGCGGGGAGCACTGGGTGTGTGTTCCTGGCTGGCCGGAGACCCTTGAAGACAGTTTTATTATTATTATTATTAAAAAAAAAAAAATATATATATATATATATATATATATATATTATTGATTTTTTAAAGAGAGGAAGAGAGAGGGATAGTTAGAAACATTGATGAGAGTCATTGATCAGCTGCCTCTTACACACTCCCCCACTGGGATGTGCCTGCAACCAGGGTACATGCCCTTGACTGGAATCGAACCCAGGACCTTTCAGTCCGCAGGCTGACGCTCTATCCACCGAGCCAAACCGGTTTTGGCTATTATTATTATTATATTTTTAAATCTTCTCCAGGGAGGTTTCCATTGTTTTTAAGATGGAGTGGAAGGGAGGGAGAGAGAGAGAAACATCCATGTGAGAGGGACCAGAGGGAGACTACCACGTAGGCACGTGCCCTTGGCTGGAATCGAACCTGGGACCCTTCAGTCCTCGGGCCAGCGCTCTGTCCACTGAGCCAAACCAGCGAGGGCGGCAGTGATGGCTACCTGGTGCACCCCCAAATACAGGTCTCAGTGGCTTCACTGCTCCTGTGCCAGAGAGCCAGCCTGCCAGTCCCCCCTCTGGCAGCTCTGCTGCAGGGCCTGGGGCAGCGGCTCTCCACCTGTCAGGGCAGAAAGGGAATCTTCAGGAGGACCCCCAGGACCTCAGAGCCAGCCCTGGCTCTCCTTTTCCCACGAGGGGCTTCTCAGGAAGACAGGCCGCGGTTCAAACTCCCCGTGGGTCCACACTGTCATCGCTCCAGCCCTGCCTCTCGAAACAGGGGAGAGGCCCGCTTCCTCGGCCTCCTGTCCCAGAAGGCCTGCCGGCTGCCACTCTCACCTCAGCCTCCAGCTCCCAGGGCCCAGGCGGCTGGGCATCAGTAACCTATTTCACAGATAAGGAACCTGCACCCATGGGCCAAACTGCCAGAATGACAGCATGGCCTGGGGTGGGGGGTGCTGTAGGTGAGGGTGCAGCCAGCTGCAGAACCCAGGGGAGAGTGGGAGGAGAGAGGAGGGAAGAGGGAGGAACAAGGAGGGAAAAAGAAGGAGGGAAAGAGGGAGGAAGGGAGGGGGGAGGGAGGAGGAGGAGGAGGCAGAAGGAGGAGGAGGGTGGGAAGTGGGAGGGAGAAGGGAGAAGATGGAGGAAGCAGAAGGAGGAGGAGAAAGAGAAGAGATACAGAATTTGGTTTGTCTCCCTTCCTCCCCCCCTCCCCTCCTCAGCCCAGACTCTCAGGTAATCAGAGCCCCCAGGAATGTGGAAGGTTCCAGAGGACCAAGCCTTGCCCAGCCAGCACCCAGGGGGCAGGAACAGAGGCTCCTGTGAGTGTCCCTGTGTGTGTACATAGACTTAGGTACACACACACACACCTCCTCGCTGGCATATCAGGAAGTGCAAAGCTGAGAACAGTCACACCCCAAGAGCAGAGCTGTGGGGATGGGGGCGGGGTGATGAGAAGATCTGGGGGTGGGGGAAGAGAGAGCTCAGAGAGGACAGATTTTCTCCTCCGAGCCCCTTTGTCAGCTCACCCCAAAAAGCAAAGGGCTTAGCTACCAGGCAGCTGAGGGGGGCGGGCTCCCAGTGAAGGAGGAGGGAAGAGGGCTTGAGCCCTCTGTCGGAGGCATAGCATCTGAGGCTGTGGCTGGGGAGGGTCCTGCCCCCTCTTCCTGAGCTCTCCAGCCCCCAGCAGGCCTCCTGGCTGATCCCGCCCTCCCTGGCCTCCGCTCAAGAAAGAACCAATCAGGGGCCCAGGATGAGCAAACTGGGGGGAGAGGAGGGGCCTCAGCCTCAGTGTTTGCCTTTGGGGCAAGAGCTGAAGGAAAGGCGAGGCGGGGAGGGGAGAGCCTGGGCCCCTAAATCTGTTGTTATCTTTGCCAACAAACGGAAACTCAAGTCCGGCCCAATGACAGATGAGCAATGAGAACTGGGCCTCCCCTTCCCGCAGGGAAAGGCTGTGTTGACAGAGACAAACAGGCCCTAACATGCAGTCTCTCCTGGCGCTGGAGAAATAATAGGATCAGCTAATACGTGGGGCTCTTTCCTAAGAACTTCCTGTACAAACTCAGAATCCTCACAGCAACCCCTGGAACAGTTAAGTCCTCAATGCCTTTGATAGGTTCCGTGGCTTTCATCGGAACTAATTTCGCCACAGGCTAACTGACATAAACAAGAATTAAGTCTCTAAGCCAGTGGTCCGCAAACTCAGTCAACACAGCGAAATATCAACAGTACAATGACCGAAATTTGTTAAACGTAAACTTCTTCTAACGCCACTTCTTCAAAATAGACCCGCCCAGGCCGTGGTTATTTTGTGGAAGAGCCACGCTCAAGGGGCCAAAGAGCCGCATGGGGCTCGAGAGCCACAGTTTGCCAGACCATGGCTCTAAGGTGTCTCATCAACATTATAACAGGCACCTGCTGTGCTAATATTAGTATACCCAGTTTGCAGATGGAGAAACCGAGGCACAAACGTTCATTAATCTGCTGAAGGCCTAGAGCTAGTAAGTAGTCAAGGGGGGATGGAGAGCCCGACCCCTCTTCCTTTTGTTGAACTCCTTTCAAATATCTGTCCTTTTCGTGATGACAACCACGCCCTGGAATTTTGGTGCACTTATTCATAGTCTGTAAGGTGCATTTCACATGTATCTGGCTGTCATCTGCCTGTTCTCCCTCTTTCAGTTAACACAGGGTGTCCAAACCAAATGTGTACACACTGTAACAAATTTAATTAATCACTTAGCTTTCATCCCTTTCCAGGTTTAACTGATGTGAAATAATGGGTGAAGCCAGACTAAGTTTTAAACAAAGAAAATTTATCATAAAATGCCACTAGACTTTTTTTTTTTTTTTTTAAATGGGGATACATAAAAGGAAAAGTCTATGGTACAAAACTGGCAACAGTTGACGAATTGAGAGGGCACGAACGCTTAACACAATGATGCTTGATGTTTGGGATTTCAGTGCTTCATATCAGCAGCAGTGCCTGGACCAGAATGGTCTTCAGTGTGAAAACAGGCGCCGACACACAAAAAATTACTCATTTCTTGTAGGTTCTTTTAAGTTTTGAAAATGAGCTCTGTGTCAATAAACACTGACTTTGTAATCATTGGGCGTGTGTGTACATTTTGGGGGACACCATGTATTTGAGGGCCTAGGCTCCTGGCATTGTACCAGGTCCCAAAAGGGTCACCTGGTCCTCTCAACCCCACGGAGAAGAGAAATGGTAATGGTGTTATTCTCATCCTTATACGGGGAAACTGAGGCTCTGGGACCTTATGCATGGCTTGCCCAAAGCCAGTGGTTTTCAAACACATGTAAAGAATAATATGGGCCAGTATATATGTATATCATGTATACATATATATAACATGGGCCAGTATAGACATATATATGTAAATATACGGTATATAATATACACACACATACAACACACCAACGTTTCATGATACGGTGCTTATTATGTGACAAGTGCTGGTCCTTTCTTTCTCGTTTGTATTTAAATGCTGGTCCAACCCATTCATGGTCAAGACGCCCAGTTTGTGTCCTCACCGGTTTGGCTCAGTGGACAAGAGCATCAGCCTGTGGACTCAAGGTCCCAGGTTCGATTCCGGTCAAGGGCATACACTTTGGCTGCCGGAACATCCCCAGTGGGGGGTGTGCAGGAGGCAGCGGATCGATGTTTCTAACTCTATCCCTCTCCCTTCCTCTCTGTAAAAAAATCAATAAAATATATATTTTTTAAAAAGACGCCCAGTTTGTAAAACAGTGCAGGAAGTCTGTCATTAAGGACAGAGCAGAGTCTTGCCCCAGCTCCGCCCCAGACCAGAGCCCTCCCTGACCTTCACTGGAAAGCACGACTGTGCCTTCCAATAAGCGCCGGTGAGAGTGACCACAAACTCAGCCCAGCGTGTGACGAAGCACCTGCACATTTCAGCCGTTACCCCTTGGCTAATACCCGCCGCGCCCCCCGGGACTCTGGGTGACGACATCTTAAAAGCACAACCAGGGCACCCACCAATCCCTGCGAGAATGCGCTTCTGACCTAGGACTCCAGGCACCACAATCCCCTCCCGTTCAAATTCAGGTGCAACTGACGGCGCTTTCTCCACAGGCAGAAACGTCTCTCACCTGAGCAGTCCTCTTCCCTCGGAAAACACCTTAAGAGTCTTCTGGCGTCACCCATTATGTCAAACCAGCTAAACATGCCCACAGGATTCTCACCACCGTGCCTCCGGCGCGGAGAGCAAACCGAGGCGCCTTCACCAAGGGCCGGGGTTGGCCTGCCGCCCCGGCGCTGGCTGGCGCGAATGCTTCCCTATCGCAGGCAGGAGGGAGGCCCGGGACCAGCACTGACGAAGGTCTCAGTGTGATTGGCGGGTGGAGCACTCCCCTCCCAGGGTCCAGGGTGGAAGTGGTGGGCAGACCCCACCTGGACAGATAGACTAGTAACGCGCGTGCCATGGTCATGGGTGATGGAGCGTTGGCCGCTCCCAACCTCGTGGGGCCTCTGCTCCCGCCTCTCCCTGGGCGGGTGATGGAGGGCGGGGGCTGAGGGACTCGGCCCCTTGCTGGCAATGACCCCAGCTGCTGGTTCAGGTCCTCGTTCCTTCTGACTCCGAAAGCAGTTAGGAGCGTGACCGTGTCCATCGGAGCGTGTACTCACCAGCAGCAGGGCCTCCAGCTGGTTGATGTAGATCTCCTCGCTGGCCAGGAACCCCGAGAGGACCAGCTTCCTCATCTCCAGGCCTTTCCCTGCCTCCACCTGTGAGAGCAAACCAGAATGCTGAGTGGCCTGTTTTCTTCCTTCTCTCTCACTGACACTGTTGTATGGGGTAAATGCCACATCTACCTGTTAGAAAATCTGGCAAATACAAAAATATAAAGGGAAAAACAATCACCATATTCCACTAGCTTTTTTTTTTGTTTTGTTTTGTTAATCCTCACCTGAGGATATTTTTCCATTGATTTTCTTTTCTTTCTTTCTTTCTTTCTTTCTTTCTTTCTTTCTTTCTTTCTTTCTTTCTTTTTTTTTTTTAGGGAGAGGAGAAGAGAGAGGGAAAGACAGGAATATCAATGTGAGAGAAACACGTTTGGCTGCCTCCTACACAGACCGGGGAGTAGCCTGCCACCAAGGTACTTGCCCTTGACTGGAATTGAACCCAGGACCCTTTGGTCCGAAGGCCGATGCTCTTTCCACTGAGCCAAACCGGCTAGGGCTCCTACGTGAGCTTCTTGCTTTGTTTCTCTCTCATCTGTTTTCTCTCATTTGTTTCCCACATTTCCTTATTTGATAGCCATCCACCTATTCCACCTCATAATAGTGAGCAAGATAACAAAGGACCTGGCCTCATGTGTGTGGGGCAGTTCAATGGGGGGACGTAGTTAAGAAGGGAAATCGGAATCGTGGCTGAGTCAGGGCATGCCACCTGGAAGGGCACAGAGAGGGCATGGGGCGCTCCCAGAGGAAGTGATCTGTAAACAGAGGAGGGGGAGAAAGGATGGGATGCAAGTGGCCATGGGAACCCCAGCCAGTGTGGCCTTTCAGCTGCACCTGACTTTATCCTCCCGTCCCCAGGGGTTCAAATTCCCAGCAAGAGATGCGAGCTGTGGCTCCGGCAGGGTGGCTCAGTTGTTGGAGCATCATTCCCCTTCATCCTCCTACACCCCCTTGGTAGGTTGGGTATGAGGGCAAACGATCATTGTTGTCTATTTCTCTCCCTTTCTCCCTCGCTCCCTCCTTCAAAGAGAACAAATCACTGGGTGAGGATTAAAAAATTTATAATAACAATAAAGAAAAGAAAGGTGGTAACTAGCTACAGGGCCCTCAATCTTCCCCCCCACACACCCCCCCGTTAATATTTATTTTTTAAATTAATTAATTTTTTAAAAATTTTATTGATTATGGTATCACATAATTGTCCTCGTCCCCCCCATTGGGGCCCTCAATCTTAACCTTGCACCCCTCCTACCATTTCCTGACTGCCTCATTCTGTGAGGCCCTGACCTCCCCGCTCCACCTCCCCCCATGGTGGAGATCAGGCCTCATTTAGCTCTGAATGCCCATCTTGCCCATCTTGCTCATCTCTTACCACGGCTCTTCCCTCCGGTTCCACTCCTCCCCTCTGCTGTGGCCTAGGCCCTCAGCACCCCACCCGGTGGCCGGCTCTTCTCACTGCGCCCCCTCCCTCCACTCCGCACACCAGCGCCAGATCCGTCTTCTGAGGACGCCACCTTCCACCTGATGTTTGTCAAGGACTTAAGTTAACACAGCAAAATGTAATTATCTGGAGATCCAGTTAAGTCAGTGGTCGGCAAACTCATTTGTCAACAGAGCCAAATATCAACAGCACAACGACTGAAATTTCTTTGGAGAGCCACATTTTTTCAACTTAAACTTCTTCTAACGCCACTTCTTTAACACAGACTTGCCCAGGCCGTGGTATTTTGTGAAAGAGCCACACTCAAGGGGCCAAAGAGCCACAGGTGGCTCGAGAGCCGCAGTGTGCCGACCACGAAGTTGTTCTTCATCCACTTTATTCACTCAATAAATATCTACCGAATGCTCCCCAGACCCCATAGATAGAACAGGAAGCAAACGCACAGTAGTCCCTACTCTCATGCAGCTTATCATCTAGTGGGAGAAAAAGACGTTAGCAAGAAAACAAAACCAGTCATGTAAATTGTAATACGGGCCCCAGCTTATTAAACACCTTTGGTGGCTCCTCGTGCCTCTCCCTACCCTTCCATTCCCCGCAGCCATCCCCACAGGCCAGAGCTGTGCCAGCGGCTGGGCACCTGCTGCCTCAGTGCCTTCTCCGACGCGGCTCTTGTCTGAACCCCACCTCCCCTCGGCGCACAGCTGCAGTCTCTCTGGCCTGCAGTGCCTCTTGTTGTATGGAGTCTGCGGCATCGACCCCAAACCTGACGGGTGCCCTGGTCCGTGACCTGCCCGTGGCTCTGAGCACCTGCCTCCCTCCTGGGCACGCCCTGGAGCCCAGTGGCACGTGGCACCCCTCCCGTGTGGGCACCTAACACGGAGGAAGGCTTGTAAGTTCTTTCCCCTCTCTCATCTGGCCTCCAAGGCCTCTGTAGGGTGGTTCTGTATTTTCTCATCACACACAGAAATAAACAGGACTTCAAAGAGGGAGGGGCCCATCCAGGGTCACGGAGCCAAGACGTGGCCGGGACAGAATCTGACCCCTGGCCTGGGGCAATGAATCCCGTGCTATTCCACTGCTCGGATAATGTCCTCACGCGTTCTCAAGCATCGGATGCTCACCTGGAATCTCAAGCAGATCCTCAACAGCATGCCCTGAGCACAGCCTGGGAGAGCTGTGCAAAGCTGTAGGAGATTTCTCAAGTCCCCAGAAGCAGGGCTTCCCGGAACCCGGCTGCCTTCCCGCCCTGGTGAGCTCACACGCTGGCAGCCTTTCCCCAGGTGAGCCTGGATCCTTGGCCCGTGAGCAGATCTGCGCTGGAGGCTGCTCCCCCACCCCGTCTCTGGCCCAGTGACAGAAGAACTATGTCGTGCCAAAGAGGTCCACTCCCCAACCCCCCAAACCTGTGGCTACGAGATCTCATGTGGCAAAAGGGACTTGGCAGACATGATGAAGTTAAGGATTTTTAGATGAGTTATCCTGGACTATCTATCCACCGGTGGACCCTTAGGGTCCGGCGAGAGGTGAGCAAGAGGGGCAGAGAGACAATGAGCACAGAAGGGGAGGGCAGGCAGGGAGGGACAGACTGACGGAAGACATCCATGGGCCAGGGAATGCAGGAGGCCCCTAGACGCTGGAAAAGACTCAGGCGGACACGCATTCCCTCCCCAGCGCCTCCAGGAGGGGAGCAGGCCAGCTGGCCCTCGTCGGCGGGCGGGAGTGAATAAACGTGTTGTTTTAAGCCACTGACCGTGTGGCCATTTGCTGCAGTGCCATTAGGAAACAGTGTGGACGCTACAGCCACGCTGTCGGGAAGGACAGTGGTTACGTATCGATGCCTTCCCGAGTGCCAGGCACTGTTCTAAGTGCTTCCGTGGATAACGCACTGAAGTCCCACAACCCGGAAGGTGCTACCGTTACTCTCCCGAGCCACAGCCTGGAAACGGCCAGCGCCCGGAGCCGTCCTCCTGGCAGGTGGCAGCACACCCTCCCTCCGAGGAGCGAGACCAGAGCTCGGAGCAGGGCCGGGCCTGCTGCCTCCCAGCCTGACACGTGGGAGCTCTCCCTCCGTGTAGGGGGCCCACCCTCGCCGGCTGCACCCCATTCCCCTCCTAACTTCTGTCAACTGAGGGCTTGTCTGGGGGCCTGAGAGGCACTCGGGGAACACTGAGCTGCAATAGCAGAGCTGGCTGGGCTAGGACCAGAGCGAAGGCCTGGTGACTCACGGATGTTTTTAATGGTTTTGAGAAACATCGATTGGCTGTTTCTACTCCCCCTCCCCCTCACACACACCTTTTGCAGGCTCCTCAAGCAGGAATTGAACCCCCAACCCAGGCACGAGCCCCAACTGGAAACCCAAGTGCATCTTTTCTTTGGTGCGTGGGACGATGCTTCCATCAACGGAGCCACCCCGCCAGGACTCATTGCTTGATTTCTGCATGTGTCCTGACCTGGAATCGAACCGGCACCCTTGGTTGATAAGGATGACACTCTAACCAACTAAGCTATCCAGCCAGGGCCCTTTTGGGGCTGTCCTCATCTCATAAAATGTCAGGGCTCACCGTTATCTCATTCACACCTCGCCAGGTGCCAGCTACTGGGATACAAGCCCCAGAGGGAGCCAGTATCTGCCCCACAAAGCCCGCCACGTGCCAGCATCTCCGGGGCGAGCGCTCTACAGAGGCCAGGTTCCCCCAGCACAGGAAAGCTGCCCTCTCCGTGACACCACCCCACTTCCTCCCCGCGGGGAGCTTATGAAACGCGGCCACGGTGGGCTCCTTCATCCCCAGCGTTTTACACAACCTGCAGTCCCACAGTCTTCGGCCCGAGGGCCCCAAATCCAAGAGGCCGGGTCCCTCTGGCAGGGGCCAGCTCTGGCCAGTCTCCTGCAGTAGGGACTAAAAAAAGCCCCTGAGCTCTAGGCCAGGCCAAGCCCATCTGTCCCGGAGCTGTGGTCTCCTCCAAGACAACCAGGAGGACTGACGAGGCAGAGCGGCCTGTGAGCCAGAACCTCAGGCCAAGCGGCTGCGCATGCACAGAATCCCGCTCAGGGACCACGCCGTTTGCCACGAGCGCCCGGCGGGGTCTGCTCAGAGCAGGTGCCGCTGCGCTTGGGAGCTGTGTCCGGGCCAAGCATCCGCCGCAGGCCGGCCGGCCCTTCTCTGGGTTGAGACAAGGCAGGGACCTCCCCCCCTCCTCAGAGCTAGATACCGGGGAGGTGTCTGCTGGTGAATTCCTCAGCAGAATAACGAGCAGAGAGGACAGGGGCAACTGCTGGGGGACAGACGAAAAACCCAAGCCCACCCTCCTAAGGGAGGATCCCCGGATTCTGGGCTCCCGGGTGTCTGTCGCTTTGGACAGGCCCCCCGAGATCCAGCAATGTTTCCAGGCTTCAATTGTTCGAATCCCACCTTTGCAGCTGTGTCCTACTCACATCCCCCTGCACTACCATTTACCTAACAATTTACCTAACAGTGTTCTTTACAAATGACTTCTTAAAGGCACAGCCTTATCCCAGGCATGACGTCTGAAATCACAGGAAAGATGCACAACTTATATTCTCCCTAACATCCGTGAAAACAGCTACCTACCTATTCCAACTGCA